GCACAAATACCTTTCTCTCTCGCACATAATGCTTTCCTTCTCGCACATATCGCTTTCTCTCTCGCACCAACGGATACCAGCTGCGACCTCCTAGGCTATCCTGTGATCCTATTACAAAATCGGAGCTTCGGCGACATGCCACCAGGGGGCGCCACTTTTCTTCGAATACCGTTGCGGTCGAATGTCGGGAAATAGCCGCCCAAAACATTATCCCGTTACGGACGTGCGTCGGGAAATAGTCGCCCTAACCCCGCAACTCTCGAAAAATGTTTATAATTATTTAATTTCAATGAAACACGAAACAACAACATTGTTTAAAGATAATAATATTTATTTCCACCACAAGTATACATAAAATAACCATTATTAAAATAGAATTCATATTCAGATCTATAGAATATTATACATATAGAAAAATGTAAGTAACAGATAATACATGTATAGTAATAGAAAATAGTATCGTGTAACAATAGTATTGTTTGGCGAATATTTTTCGTGTAGTTGCTGCAAACTCGTCGATTTTCAATTTTTACATTAGGCTTACAGATTTTATAGAATACTTTTGTAATATGTATATAAACGTTCGAGACTAAGCAGAACAATTAACAACTGCACGTGAAACGTGTATAAAGCTTCAGATCCATGCAAACAGTATATAAATATTTGTATATAGGAACATTACGCTCACAGAAGTGTTACAGTAATGAGATTTACGCATCAACGAATAAGTCAGTTATAAGGTACACGCATAGAGGTACCTTGATGTAGAAGTACACACGATCAAACTTGAAAATTTTCTTTTAAATGCGGCAAGGCAAAGTTTATGGTTCATCCTGATTGTACGTTTCTTTAAGAAATGAGAGCTAGTAAACATTTCTTATAATGACCAGAACAATCTCCCTGAAACAATTAATGTTAAACAAAATTATTATTTCTCCTAAATACAATAAATTCCACTGTACATCCCTAAGTAACTAAAATCCACTGTATGTATTCTTTATGTATACTTACGGAAATAAAGTCTTCTAAAGATTCGTTGTATTGATGCCTGAACATTTCCTTTATTTCTCCCATGTCCACCTCGCTACGCGTGACAACTAATCTGATCAAACGATCGTCGTCCGTACCAATGCCCTTCATACTCTTGTACAACTGTTCAGCGAAGAAAGCGGCTCTGTTTTTCACGCATTTCACTGTAGTAAAAATCAAGTAATCAATTAGACGTGTTGCATATTACGCGCAGAGATAAATATTCATGTACGTTAAAGATTAATTTGTATACCAATTGCAAGGAGACCCTTTTTAACGTCACCCGAGAACTCATTCTCGATAGCATTTTCGATAGTGTGACCAGTTATATTTTCGTACTCTTGAAATACCGCTCTCAGCTGTGGAACATTTCTTTGGACAAGAATCGCATTGAATGTTGATTCATCGGTTCCGAAACGGAGTTCACCTACAAAATAAGGAGAGATGAAACGATAAACTTATTAAAGAACTCGCATCAGGGTCGATCTGTATTGGTAAATTTGTTACCAGCTCTGAGAAGTTCTTTGGCATCTTCTATCGCGGCAGAGGGATTTACGTCGAATGACTCATCTCTGTTGGCACAACACAGGGACACCATCAAACGCTTGAAATTACCAGACGTATCGCTCATTAGGTCATCCTCCAACGTTTTTCCGTACACTGGAAACATTTGAAACTTGAAGGACTTGCAAACGTTAAATGTTTGGGAAAGCATTGGAACTTGCAGAACTTACTTGCTTCGTAAGCTTGTTTAATTACACGAATCTCGTGATTAGACATAGTGCACAGTACTTCGATGAGGACGCATTCGTCGGTACCAACACCAGACATCGCATTGTGAAGTTCTTTGGCATAATATTGGGGTAATGGCATCATCATGGCGAGAATTAGATTCTCGAAATTGCCAGATAACTCGGACTTCAAATCCTTTATAAGATCCTGTTTAAGAAAGACTTTCATTAGTTGCCTGTTTCTATATTTAATTAAAGTTTTTTAATCCCACCTTTCCATACAGCGTTTTGAACTGGACAGCTATTTCTTGGCGCTGCATATTACTGCGATTGGCAAGTACGTTTATGATAGTCTTCTCGTCTGTACCGAACCCTTTCATTGCCTTCCTCAAAGCTTCCGCGTCTGCCCTAGGATCGAAATCGCCGTAGGGCACAACCGTAGGAGACAACTGCAACACAAATTAACAAACAATCTTATGGAACTTGCGTTACTCTTGTCGGAGGAAATAATTTCAAACCGGTTAGTCTTATAATAGTGCAGCTTTCCGCACATATTCCCTGGATCTCACCTTAGGCGCAAACTGATCTCTCCGGGGGGCTGGGGCAGGGCGAGAGTGCTGTGGCGAAGAGGATATACCTCCGTACGGAGAATACGATCCTGCGCCCTGCCCCCCAGGATAGCTTCCGCCTTGGTACGTGCTTGCATTATTCGAGTAAGTTTTGGGAGTGGAAGAGTATGGAGAAGGTTGTCCAAAGTATTCTCGTGCGTCTGGTGCTCTTTGAAGATTCGGATATATTTCATGGTTTTGTTGTTGTTGGTATGTAGAAGGTTGGGTAGGGTATGGTTCCTGTGTTTGTTGTGGAGGGTACGATTGCTGTGTTTGTTGAGAAGGATATGGTTGTTGTGTTTGCTGGGGAGGATATGGTTGTTGTGCTTGCTGGGGGGGATATGGTTGTTGTGCTTGCTGGGGGGGATATGGCATGGGATAAGGTGTTTGTTGCACATGACCACTTGGTGCTAGTGATGGGCATTGTCCAGGTACAGGATGGTTAGGTTGCGTTGGATAAGGAGTGGAAGGATAAGGAGAATAAGGTTGCGGCATCCCAAAGGACACAGGAGGACCATGTGAAAACCCCACATTGCCACTTTGAGCATATGGCGGAGCACAGGGGGCAGAGGCAGCACTAGGTGCAGAGGGTGTACCAGGCGGAGCTCCGAACGATGTTGGCGGTGGTACATGTCCCGGAAACTGAATCACTGGTGGTCCCTTTGATATTAATGCGTGAATTAAAATAACACATACACATTTCTATGTGCCTTCTACAGCTGCTTAAGTATTTTAGTTGCGGATCTTTCAACTGCTACTGCTATGCAAATATATAAAAGACAGAGACAAGAATTTCACCTGTCTCTGACAAAAGATTTTTAATAATTCTCCAGTCACATATCGTACCGTCAATGTTTGACTAGAAAATTATTAAACATCCCCTTTATAAAAGTGTGCAAAACCAAAAAAATATTGCAACAACTAAGAAACAGTCAAAGCATACTCACTTGATAGCCGTAACTCATTTTGGATGTTTTGTGGAACTAAGCCGCTGAACACTAGGAATCTGAAATTCAAGAAAACGTGAATTTTGGTTAAATAAAATATGATCTGAGTACGTTTGCCACGATACGACTACAATGCAATTACTGCAATTACTCTGCAGTCGTGACCGTAGCTCACTGAACGTGGTGTTTGTCACTCGCGGGACTGTTTATTTAATTACATTTTTGTTCAACTCTGATCGTAGATAAAAAGTAATTACTCGACCGTAGCTATTCACGATAGATAAAAAGAGGAAGTGGTAGATTGGAGACGCCCACCGCGGACAATAAAGTTGTTTGTACGTCTTGCGCACTTGTTATGAAACACTGGGAAATAAAGTCGAAGCTAGACGGAGCTTTATACACGCATCGTTTACGTTGCAGATGAGATTTAGAGCTTACCTAATGTTTCACGGAATTCAACTATATCAGACTATGCAGATCCAATAACTGTACACTCGTGACGTGGACGTATGGACGTAGCTACGCTCGAAAGAGATGTAACAGATTGTTACGCGAATTTAAGAGAAGCGTCGTTTCAGCGGAAGCTGTAGTGGGAGAATAAAAAAAAAAACAATCGTTTACCGGTGTTCTGACGTCACGACATCGAGCATGAGAAAAATCGAGTGACGTTACAACTGTTACAAGTTTCAATCGACAACAAACGTCTTGCGGAAAAAGTGAAATCTGCTGGCAATATGACGGAAAACAATAACTAAACTAACGTTACTTCGACGTGAGACGATTCCTTTACATCGTTACATCGAGAACATTTAGCATTCTGTTGTAAAATATTTTTACTCTACGTAGCGTTTTGGAATTTTTAACAGCGATTCGATCTGTGACAAATTTGGTCAGAGACAAAAGGGATTTCTTTTATTCTGTGATTGTCTACTATGGGAGACAACACGTGACGCATTTTATAAGTCAGCTTTAGTCAGAGATATCTCCCGATTCGAAAGTATACTTTTTTGTTTGCACTGTCGATTAGTGCAACATGCATTCTCGCTGTCTGTAACCTTGAGATTGCACAATAGACACAACGAATTGCAATTAAACTCACCTTGCGATACGTATTTTGAAGCTTCGCAGATCAATCGCTGCGCGTCCCTCCTGTTCTCGTACCGATGAAAGTTTAATCAGTTTAATGTTCGCTACTTTATGAAACGATAGGAAGGGAAAACTGATCGAGGGGTAGCACAGACAAATGATCAAGCAATCTTCAAAATAATTTATTAAAAATGTCGCATACTCGATATTCGGATCGGTAATCAATAATGGTATAATTAGTAACTATATGCATGTCGTGTGAGCATGTCTTCGGAGGTTTTGTTTCAAATGTTTACGTCTGGCGGTGATCGATCCCCTAGTTTTCTCACCGATCATTCCACGAAGGTGTCCACCAGGTCGCGCGACACGATCTCGTTAGCGTTAATTAATCGATTCGGTTAACGTAATTATACAGTTTCCGAGAATGCTCGCAATTAAATTATCCGCGATCGTTTCATGGAAAACGCGAGACCGTTCTAGTTTCGGATCTCATTATTTTTAAGTTGTTTCCTTTTAAGATAAGTTTTTTCCGGTTCCTGGATTCGTTTGCGTCACAGGGAGCGTCTTATCGTTACGCTAATGACGTCTCGATGGGTTTCATTTCCCCTAACGAGATGTGAATCAACGATGATTCAACAAGCCTACTGGTTTCTCCGACAGTTTCTACGCTCTGACGTTTGATCAATGTCGTCGACCTGGCGGGCAGATTTCACAACCAAATTTCGTGTACGTACTGTGGTGTATACATGTGTCACTGTGTGTATGCGTTCACGCAACGTGCGCGTCGTGTGTTATTGTCGGGCCTGTTTCTGACTTTACGCTCACCGAAAATCAGATTCCATCGAAATGCTTCTTTCTCGCGTGCATTCGTTCACGATCATTTCATTAGAATCACTTAGTGTCAGGAATCGAGAGAATTTCAGGGTCTCGAGGTATCGAGTGTTTCTTCTTTTTCGCGACTTTCGTGCATAGTTATTCTTGATTTGTATAAATGCCAAACAATCGGGACGATTCGAGTAGTAGATGAAACCGAAGATGATCGTTTCAATTCGAGGGTGCGCTAGGTAAAGAAATTTTGGAAACGTCGATGCAACGCACTCTGGCGGGAATTTCTTGTATCAAGAGGAATTTTGCATACCGACGGTCGCGTTACTTTACCGACTGTTGAACGCTCTGTAGTTTCAAACGGTAACACGGAACGGTGATTATTGCGGAGTGCCGAAGAATAGCAAACGATAAGCGTTTTCGGCAGTTTTCGGGAAGAGTTCGGAACCTAGAAAAGTTCTGTGCGACTAGATAAACCAGGCCTGTTCGATCGATCCCAAAGTCGCCTCCCCTGTTTTACTCGCAATACCTCTGGTTGCCTATCTAACAGCGCCTGTATACGTAGATCGATTATTTTCGAACAAATCTAACGGTACGCAGCACGATATAACAACGATATGTAGCGATTATGCATAATTGCAAAATTGATGGATTTATAACACGTTTACGAACTTTATAAATTCTTAATATATTTACCTATTCGCAACAATTTCGTCTACGATAAATTGATAATATTTCTATGAATTTGTAACGAATTAATAACAGATTCGCAACGCGTTTATAAACTTTGTCGATGTATATAAAAATTCATAAAAAGTGTGTACAGTGTATAAATTTGAAACAAACGTGTCTGGCAGAGTTTTAAGTCCCGATGAATGCAAGAGAGAGCCACGGCCCATGTGCGTCCACGACAGACAACGCCGTCCAGAGGTATTCTTTACAGATTAAATGAATGCTACACGTATAAAGTATCAACGAATAAGCGACGAACCCATCGAATGCAGCAAGGAGACGACGACTCGAGGAAACTGTTTCTCGCGGACAGGCCTGAGATAAATGATACGCAAGTCAGTCGATGAGCTCAAAATTCCCTGCTTACGTTACGTCTTCCTCTTCTACGCGTTTCACGTCATTGTTCGTTCGTTTTATTTTTCATTGTACGTAACGGTTCGTCGATGAATGATTAACTTAATCGTCTTGTGCAGTTTCGTCGGTGTTCACGATTATCGCGTCGGCAACATTCGCGCTAATTTATGTACAACGGAACAGCGCGAGTTTCGTCGATTCGACACGCCCGAGGAAAGGACGAGATCCTTCCTCGATTACGTACGTTTCTCTCTTCTTGCCAGCGTCTCGCTCGAGGCGATGGATTCGCCATAATTCCTCGCGAAACCGCCAAGGTATCGTCGGAACGTACATTTTTCCTAGGGTACATCGCTCCCTCGAGAACCGTATCTTTCGCTTCGACGTTCCGCGAGGAGTGGCTGACAGCGAATCGACGACATTTCGACCATTAATCCCAGTCTGTTCATGGATATGGTTTACATCGTAATTAGTAACGTTCTAATCGCACTACGTTAGTTATTCGGTAACTTAGATCGTGATCTAGAATTAGTTTAAAATTCATACGTGTACATCTTATCGTTTATTTACAATCGAGTCGATCGTCGATTTCGTTATTTATTTACACGCCACCCAGCCCGCGAGGACCATCGCGCTCGTCACTCAGCGGAATAGAACTCGACTCGAATAGAAAAATCGATCTCGTAATTCGCGATTCGCTGGGATCGCATTCCCCGTGGCCCGCATGGTTCGTCTCTCCGTTCGAATAAATAAAGAACCAGAGCCGGAGGACGCGAGATGGGGTCGTCGCGATCAATTAATGCGGCTACCATCACGCAAACACGAGCTGCGATCGTTCGTTTATTGGCCGTGCGATTCTCTGGCCGATGGTCCCGGCGCGCGGGTGTCTCTAAACACGGGCCACGTTTGTCGTCCACGATGTCAATAAAGGCTCGCTAATAAATTGCAACGGGATCGCTGTGACAGCGTATCGGTTAAAGACAAGTCCACGCTTGCGATGGGACGCTGGTTCCGAACGTTTTACACCTAGAACGGAACAAAAGTTGCCCTTGGCTGGAATCGATCGTCACCTCGGAATCGCTTCCTTTGACACCGTGTGCTTCGTCGCGTTACGAAACGATAAACGCCGTGTGAATTTTAGAAACGACCCGAATCAAACGCAAATGCCATACGCTATAGTTTCAACGAGACTTTCCCCGAAACGTGGACCTGACTCAAAGTAACGCCATTGCGAGGGATCGCTTTACAGTCACCGTGCAGAAGAACGCATCCAAAAGGGGCTGTGTCACGCGCAAGATGGTCTTTACTTTTTTCATCGTTGTTGCATCGCGTCGCGTCGTGGCTCCGCGTTTCGTTATTAAAATCACCGCCTTCCTAGCGAGAATAGGCGACCTTCGCTATGACTGTCGGTAACAAGCAGAGTCTGCCTCGCCTACGCGTGAAGCTGGTCGTCGTCGTCGCGATAGCTTATCGATGAAAGTCACACTCGAGAAAGTAGAAACTTCGGTTCGTCGTTGGAAAGTTCCAGCCAGAGAGGTCTACTAACTTAGAAATCGATAAACGAACTTTCCGAGACGATTAACGTTGCCTTCGGTACCATTACGATTAGTCGTTTGAACATTTTTGATTATTGAGTCTCGCGGATGATCGCCATTGGCAGTCGAGGAGAACGCCGGGACGCTCGGTAAAGCGTTCACCTCGGCTCGTCGATGATATCCGACTTTTTGTACGGTTACTCGAAACGATCCTTTCTGCAAGCGAACGTTGGAACCCGATGCACGCGCGCGTAGCGTACGCTTTGATCGCAAACGAATCGGTACGGTGTGTGTCGTGTGTTCCTGTGCGCAAAGGAAAATATGAAATGGCAGTGAACTCGAGTTCCCGGGTATCGGAGGGACGCGCGACCGTAGTCCGATCGTCGCACGGTAATCCTGAGGATGTGTTATCCTCGAAGCAAGAGCAACGTGGATCTTGAAAGGAGAGGCGGGCGGGCGAGGGGGTGGGGGACGCGAAAGTAAATTCAGTCTTCGATTCTCTGGATCGTCGCGTGTCATCCACAGGAGTGATTTTGATTTGTCGCGGTCACGGAGCGTGATCGCGCGAGCCGCAGCCGAACCGAGGGAACTTTGAAACGTCGCGTTCGTGACGGGCGATCGGCGAATCGGCGCGCGTTGGTCCACGGAACGCAACAGACTTTGTCGAACGATCGTCGAAAAAGGAAGTGTGTGTTTTCGTTGCGCGTGCGAGTGAGGATCTTTCGTACAAAAACGAGTCATACCGATTCGTATCGAGCGAATTAATCGGTACGCGCGAAACAAGAAACAGTAAACGGCCGCGAACAAGGCGAGCATTCCCGCAAAGGACGTAATCGAAACACGACGAGAAACTATTCACCTTCTCGTCGCGAAATATGTGCTCCCGAGTGTTCGTTAGAAGACACCGACGAACGGCCGGCGACAGAGTGTCCTGTACGCGAGAGAATTCCTGGTGCTCGGTTGCTTATCTTTACTCTAGTTTCAATTTCAACAAACAACATTTGTTACATCTCAACTGGGAGATCGAGCTTAATCAGAGTTCAACCAGAGCGATCGTAACCGTTTTCTTCGCGTACGGGGACTGCGCGGTGGTCCAGCGAGTGTTTTCGGTAACGACTGCTGCCCCTTTGGCACCACTTAAATTATACGGTTGATTAATCAAGTGAAAAATGCGGCTCCGCGCGCGGAATATATTATAACGATTGTCTTTCGTGAACGTATAATAATGGAGGGTCGGTTACACAATTATTATATTTCTTTTTTCTTTTATCGGTGTTCGACTGTGGCTTTCGTTTTCGCGGATCTCCCCGTCTGTTTTCTTAATTATTGTTGCGTGCACGGTGAAAACAGCGAGAAAAACAAATGGCGGTGCTTCCGGCTAGCTGACAGCGACGTTTCGATCGCGCGCTGTGTTTATTTCCCGTTCCTCTTCGCTTCGACTTTGTACCTTCTTTCCGGTTCGTTTCGTATCCTGCTTCGGTTCCCTTATTCTTCGAGTCCTAATGCTTATCGGCTAGTAGTAAAGCGGTTCTGTACAGGTCCCCGTTCGCGACGTTTTTGCATAGACAAAAATCGAATGGAGAAACGATATTCGACCGGAGAGTCGACAGATCTACGGCTTCGAATCGATCGCGACTCGATCACTCGTCGTTGTAAAGATTCTAAATTCGTTAGATCGAAGAACAATTTCTCTAGCTGTCGTATATATCGTAATAAGTCGAGTTCAAATGAGATACCTAGGCTCCCAACATCGGAACGTGTCGTGTCATCGTTCCGAGTTTCGAAGATGCGAAGTCGAGAGACGCTTCGAAGAGACTCGGGTGTATCGGTGAATCGTGAAAATTAATCTCGCGTGTCTCGAACGATCGTTGCTTTTTGAACCGAAATCTGTTTAAGACGAATCTTCGACACGCGAAGTGGAGGAACCGCTGAATTTCGGGGAGCCCTGGTCGCGCGCGAACGGAGACGCGTGCTCAAACATCGTTTTCCGATACAAATAGATAAATAATCAATTATATACAAGTATGAACAAGGTGTACAAGTGACGGCGTCGGGTGTGCCGCGTCGATCTTGGATTCGTCCAAGTTCCCGTCGTCGTTTCTCGTCGGCTACACCCTAGCCGGGTGTAACAATACTTAACGGAGCACAGCTCCGCGGAAAACAGCATTTATATATATCACATAATTTCCAGGCTACCATAGGTTCTACCTTTCGTACTCGTTCTTCCCGAAGTCTTATCGCTAGTGTAAGTAATTATAATTACGTCGCCTAAACGGTAATCACTCGAAACAGTTTGGTCAGTATCTCTAGTTTCAAGTTACCCTGGCTGTTCCGTCGAGATCAGCGCGATCGACGACACCCGGTCTTCTAGTATAATTACACGGGGACGCGACAGAATCAATCGACCCTTGGAGGCCGCGAGACCGCATGCTTCTTTATTTGAGCGACGAAGGACGTATGCCTGCGGATTTGCGCGAAGAAACGATGGCGCGGCGGGGATAGCTAACGTCGTGGCAAGAGGATGGCCACTCGGAGGAGTTCAAAGGTCGGTTGATCTTCTTCGACATCGACAACTTCCTTCGCGATTCTTATTCCACGTATAACGGTTTCTTCGAGGCACGGAAGTCGATCGGCGCTCGCCTCGACGAAACGCCTCGGTTCACCCGAACAACGTCGTACAGAGGATCATTTCGCGCGGCTTACCAAAAAAAAAAAAAAAAAAAAAAAAGGAGAAAGGGTAGACTGAAGGAGAGTATGGAGCCAACGGGAAGTCGGCTCGTGCTTAAAATCGTGTCCTGGCCAGCCCGTCGAGAAGCTCGACGAACGATCGAACGGCCAGTGCGAGTGTCTTGCTCGTTCCCTGCTCGATGCCTCGGATCTCTCCATCCCTCGACACTCCAGCTTTCGATCTAGCACGAGGTTCGACGGAATTTCAGGCTCCTCGATACGCTAACGTCGACGATTCCAGGTTTTGGAGGCGATTCGACTATCGCCACCACCCGTGCGATCCTTGACGCTGAACGATTCAACGTTTCGACGATCGATCGGGACCTGGTCGGCCGCGACTCGAAGACTGCGCTAAGCTACGCTACCAGCGAAACGATATCACCTAGGATTTTATTATTTATTGTCCTCGTTAAAGCAACTCGATACCCTCTCTCGCATCCGGTAACGCGTTACCAGGCGGAGAGTCGTCCGGTCAACGGCTGCGTCGCGCAAAATGTTTGCTCAGCGAAACTACGCTGGCCACGGTCTAAGAACTCCGGTGCGCTATTCGGCAAACTCTGTGGCTCGAAGTCCACCTAAAATATACCTACAGGGTCCCTGGCTAATGGCCAAATAGCGAGTCGATGCCGGTTAACACCGTGCAACACGGTTAACACGCTCCCTCTCGCCCCCCCCCCCCCCCCCCTCACTTCTCAAAGCAATGCAAATAGCGGCGGAGGCGTTGGAAGGTGGATCGCGGGGCCTCGAGTCGGAGGAACGCGAAAGTTGTTTCGAACTCGGGCTAATTCAAACGTTACACTAAATTCTGACGAACCAATCTAACTTTGCGTCGCTGGAATTTATCCAGCGCTCCCATTGCCCGAATACTTTCGACGTTGTTATACGAATACGTTGTCTGACCGCGTATGTACCAGATCGAAACGTAATTCGCAGGCGTTTTTAGCAGTCAGCGACGAACGTTCCTCCGACTCGAGGCCTCACAAGGTGAACGGTCGAGCGTTCAACGAAAGAGAAACGAATCGGTGCGTCGTCTACGCGTCGTCGAAGCTCCAAAGATACTCTCGCGCTACTCTCGCGCTCCTCTCGCGCATCTACAGAGAAAAGAATGTCCGAGATTCGATAGAACAGCAGCTTCTATGTTCCCAAAACTAGCCCGAGCCGCGTGGGTGGTCGCGAATCCCTTCCCCGATCCGACGTCCCAGGCTTCGTCGAGGGGGAGCCCCGACGAAGCAGAGGGTCCAAGTAGTTCCTGAAATCGTTCGATCTCTTCGCGGCAGAGGAAACCGGGACGACGGGTGTCCGGAGTCATCGAGCAGCGAACCGTCGAGTAGAGCGGAGCTCACCGCTCGTGCGGCGGCGTGTTCTTTCGTTATGGGAGTTCTGCGCGTTACGTGGAGGCGGTGGTCGCCGCGACGGTGTCCCGTTCAGGAGGACACCAGACGGAGCACGAGGCCACGGCGACCAGCTAGCATGACCGACGACGGTGATCGTCACACGGTAGTCACGCGGTCCACCTCGACGTATCGCACAGAACTGTCGCTGTGTCAGCAGATCACTTCCTTTCCGTCGATGATCGCCGTCTCCGAGGAGATGCTCTTCAGCCTGTGCTGGGATATCGAGCGGTTCGCCCGTTGCCTGCAGATGCGCCAGATCACGAAGAAGATCACGCCGAGGATCGACACCACGGCGAGAAGACCGAGGCCGAGGTGCAACGGGGGCAGCTTGAGAAACACCGAGCAGTGCGTCAAGGCCTCGTCGTAACCCGAGGGACAGTGGGAGATCCCGTCGCACCAGAGGGACTCGTTTATGCAGGCGTCCAGCTCGGGACAACGCTGCTCGCAATCGCGCTGCATTTGCAGGCCCGCCGTGGACGTCGTCAATGACCTGGGAATTATAACAGACGTGTTGTTACCTGGGTGTGCTATCGTCTAAGAGATGATAATAATAATAATAATAATAATAATAATACTTTATTTACGGGCAATCTGCCCTTGATATCAAGTACAATGTAATAACAATGACCACAAGAAAGGCAAAACAAAAATGGAGACGATCGCAGTGTCTCATAATGTAACGTGTTCAAACTAGATTGCGCATCCGCGAAATCGCAACGATTGATCTTTTAAATGCCGACGGCGAGTCATGAAAAAGATCAACAGGCAATCGAGGTACGATATGGATCAGTGTAAAAAATACTTCGAAGGCTTCCAAAAAAGGCTTCGAAGTTGCCTACTTGCAATATTAAATTTCAATAGTTCCAGTATCCGGGGACATTCGATTTTATAATAATTATTCATTATTTACGGATCCTTACGAGTGCCTCTGCGTGCTAGTCAGAACGGTCCTACACAAGTCTCGATCACGATACGATCGACTACGGGTACGGTGTTTAGTACGCGTCGTATGTCGTAACTTTACCTCCTGGTGAGCTCGAGCCAAGTGACCGAGTAGGTGTCCGGTTCCTTGACGATGAACTCCACGGCGATGGTCCTGACGGGGTCCTGACCCGGCGCCAGGATCACGGCGTTGCTGCTGACGGCCCAGCCGTCGCTGAACACCTCCACCACGTGGTGTCTCGATCCCGACGGCGGCTTCGGGCACACCGAGACGTGGATCGCGCCACCCGTGTGCACCACGATCCGGTTCTTCGTTGTGCATTTGCTCGAGTTCGACATTATCGTACCGTGCATCTTCACGTAAAGGTACTGATTGGGGCCCGGATCGATCAGCCACGGATGCTTCTCGCAGTTTTTCTGAAATTAAAACGAATCGGGATTAACGTTCAAACCCGCGAGAAAAGTCTCGAAAGTTCTGTGGTGATAGTGGCTGTAGAGGAAGAGCGAGTGGACTCACACTAAGTGGACTCGTCGGTGAGGTTACCTATCAGGCACCGGGATATTTAGGGTTCAGTCGGGAATAACTTATATACGAATGTTAGGGGGCGACCGAGCGCTTGCGAGAAACGCGCGGACCGCGCAGTTTCTAGTGGTGAAGACCAGGAGATGCCACCGCGGATCCAGTCTAGGGACGGCGTGAAAAATCATAAACAGTGATTTTTCACGGTGATCGCACGATCACGATCGTAGTCGTGATTGAACTTCGATCGCGTCCGCGATCCGGAAGATGACGTTTCAGAAGCGGTCGTGTCAAGTGTTATCGTTAGCGTTTCGCTGTCTCCCTTCAGCGGAAATTCAAGAAACTACAAATGAGTCAAATTTAAATTGAATCCAAATTATATCAACATCGCTTTTAGACCATATTGTAATATTATACATGTATAATCCAAGAAGAACATAATTCGTGAAAAGTGAAAGGAACGTTCTCTACCAATCAGAAGCGATCACGAAGAATCACGAATCACTGTGAAGAATCATCGTGATTGAGAATGAACGTGATTGAATCACTCGCGATTCAAAAGTAGCAGTTCACGCCATCTCTAATCCGGTCCACAGATTGAGTAATACCTCGTCCTCGTCCAGGTTTGGCGACTTGTACTTGATCTCCCCCGACGGCCCTCTCATTCTGCGCTTCTGCAGGCAGGGTGTGGTCTTGACGAAGTCCCAGCTGCCCTCGAAGAAGAGATTATCGTAGTCGTCCAGAGCGTCCATCGACAACACCGTGAAGTGGACCTCGACGACGTTCGACGTGGACTTGACGTTCATGGGGAGCGAACGGTTCGAGCAGAAGCAATCGCGTTGGACCGGCGGTGCGTTCGGCCACGGTTGATCGAGCACCTGTGGGTACACGGATGAAATTTCGGTGGGTTGCGTGTCGTTCGCAAATTAATTATCTCTGTCCGATTATTACAATCGGAGAGCGCGAGGCGCGACGCATAACAAACGCGACGCGGTATTCGCGCGCGCGGGCGATCCTAATTACGCGCGAAACCCGCGGCTGTCATAAATCCCAGAATCGATAACGAACTCCAACCGCCGCGACACGGGGGTGCTTTCCGTTCCGTTGGAATTTCAGATTTATTTCGGCCTCCGCGAGAACGCGTTCATCCGACGCCTCGCTCGGTTCCTCGTTGATCAGACCGAACCTGGCGCGAATTTCTGACTAAGTTCCGACGAAAACGCGCCCTCGTTAATTACGAACGTTAATGGGGAAACTATCGGCGGCGGGGTTCTTTCGATCGCGTCGGCGAAACTTTAAATTAAAATCGCTATCGCCAGGCTGCGAGCAAGTTGCCGCGCGTCTTTTGACCGCGGAGAATGATTATTAACGATGCGCGGGATCGGGACGACTCGTTTCGATCGGAGAATATTCGAAGAGATTCGAGATCGTCGAAGATCATCTCTTACCTTCACGGAGAAGTTGTCGGATCCCACGCAGAGAAGACGATGGAAGTCCTGGCTGGAGACGCTGCGGCAGCTTCGGTTTCCGTTCATCAGCTTGTTGAACCTCAGCTTGACGATCTCGTCGTGTTCTCCCTCGAATCGGTACACGCAGCTGGAAAATTCGTTCTCGGCTGCACTTTCAGGACCTAATCGAATCTACATGGCCGACCAGTCGCGCAAAGGAGTCGCGCTACCGATCGATACCCGCGCGAGGTGATTACTCGAACGACCGTCGGTCCGTTAATCGACGACCAGGCGAAGCGATTTTGATGTCAGACCATCAGGGAAATCGGCTCGTCTCGCTCCGCCACTTCGGATAACGCGTCTCTGCGAACGGATTACGCGCCTCGAAGCGTACGCGTGTCGTGTCACGAGGATTTCCCGCTTTTACTAACCAGCAGTTTTCGATTAACGCTCGCGGTACAACGGGGAGAATCTTTTTAAAAGGTACCTGCTACCAGAGTACAGGGATTTTCCTCTGCCTTACGTTCCGTGTCATTTTCTCTGCGAGAGGGATTGGACACCGGAAAAGCCTGTCGTTTCGATTTAATTAGCCGACACTTGTTGGGGACCACTACGAAAACGATTCACCTGTTTGCATCGTCGGCGCGTACATGCGCGAAATTCGGAATGGAATTCGAAAGAAATTTTATCTAGGCTTTTTCGTGCGATGTAAATGAGCGAAGAAAGCAGGACCTCGTTGAAGATCAACACACTCCTGCGATCACCTCTCGGACCCTCGAATCTCAGAAAGGACCAGCTAACGAACTCTGTTCGTTCGGATTTCTTCGAATCGTTTACGTGGCTAAATAAATAAAGAATAAACAGACCTAGAGGGGAGGAAAATGATAGAATGGATCGTAGGTTTTTTCGAATTTAGCTCCATTCTCCCTGTGTTCAAAAACTGTTTTAAATAAACGAAGGTAATTCAGTCTGACGTTGTGTGCATCATTTTGTATCGAGTACTGCTTGTAAAGGAATGATAAGCGACACGAGTTGTTAGGCTGACCTGATATTTTAACGGTGGAACCGTAACGTAAAAGCAGACGATCTTGCGATGCTACCTCCATCCCTGTTCACGACGCGTGGCACGAAAAACCGAACGTACGGTGTTCATCACAGACAACGACGCGCCGTTATTCCTCGCTTTATCACGAAACGGATCCACCCGCCGTGTGTAATCGTCCTCCACGATCGCAGGAGAGAAAGGCCGCCTTGCCCTCGAGGCGTAACGTCCTCTTTACAACCCTATAAACCACCGCGGTCCAGCTTAACGGGTGCCTCTCCAACGTTTCGTCGATACAAGATCCATGGACGCGGGACCACGTGTTCCTCGTAGACGATTCATCGTTTTCACGGACCGTTCGACTCGTTTCGAATTGAAATTGAAATCCGGACGAAAGGCGGGAGGATCCACTTACGTTGCGGCGATAATGTACAGACTTCCGTAAAATACAGGGAAAGCTTCTTCCTCGCCACATCCATAGACAGCGTACAATAGAGTTTCGTCGTACCAGGTTGCTTTTACGACGAAACGGGGGCTACGTTACCAAAAATGTAGCATTCTTCGTGCCGATAGGAATGAAAAAGACCTTCTCCACTTTGCGATGCGAGGACTCGTCATCGAGACACGGATTGCGAAAGTGCCGAGGACTTTTTCATTTCTTTTTATACGAGCAATCGATTTCGAAGGGACTAAGGCCGATCGCACACGGCGCAACCGATTTGAAATTAGTGTTGCAAACCGTTTGCCCTCTTTGCTTTACCTACTCCACTATTTTTGTTTCACCTAGATCCACGGTCACACGTAACTATGTAGTTCCAGAGTGGTTTGAAACTGGTTCGGTTGCGGCGCGTGCGATCGGCTTAACAGGTTTCCGTGTAACAATCCTGCGTAAACGTTAAGATAAACTCTCGACTAACGGTGTTTAAATCTCCAAAAAACGAATGGTTTCTTCGACGACGTATCCTCGAGTCTTGCGTCAAGACTTTCGTCTCGCTCCGTGTATTTTAACGAAAGTATACGATGTCTGCGGCGGTTCAGCCACGAAGAAGACGTCCTCGTTCCTTCCCTTTCTTTCTCTGTTGGACTTGGAAGGGGGTCGAAGAACTGACGATTGCAGAATGGAGGGGAAAGTTTAAAAAAAAAAAAAAGAAAAAAAGAGAGAGAGAGAGACGCGCACACTTTTGTCGCGACGTACACACAAAGGGACTATTTACGGGACGTTATCGCTTTGCAGGTCGAACAAAGGGATGCGCCGCTGACGCGCGTCTCGTTCGAAATCGTGAAATCGCTCGCGCATAAAGGGCCAGCGTTGAAGACCCGCCGGGTAGGGCGCGAAAAGAGAAAGAGTTTGTCCCCGATGGGTCGGTTGTTAATTTCTTGAAGTCGCGGCATTTTGCGACTCGAAGTTTTCGAGCGATTTTCGAGCGATTTTCGAGCGATTTTCGAAGCCTCCAAGAACCACTTTGGATTTCCCCGACGCTTGGATTTTGAAGGCTTCGGTATCTTGAAGTAGCTTTTCCATGGATTTATTTAACGTAGGCTTCATTCTCGTGCGAGCCTATCTCGATCGAAATTGTCCACTCCAGTTTTATGGAAATATCAAAGATAAACAAATTTTGTAATTTCAACGCAGATCCTCGTGGAACATACGGATTTTTAAATGAATTTTGTTCAATTCGAACCAAATTGCACTTCAGGAAGTTTGATACGTTATAAAAGTCAAAGTTATAAACAATTTAAAAAAAAAAAAAAAAAAAAGTAACAATTATTGACCTCGCTACCGAGACATGATTCATTAAAATCTGAAACCGAGAGAGCGACAACAACTACCTAACGATTTTTCAATTGAACCGATGATGCTACTATATTCAACGTGCCAAAATACTTGTTATTTGGACATGGAATAAAATTGATAAGTGTTCGTATACTTTTGTCGTTATTAAAATGCAAATGGGGGTGTCCAGACTTTCGTAAATATTGAAACCACCCTACACCAAGGGTTCAAATATAAACAGAAAGATCAAAGATTCTAAATGAAGCGAAAAATTGCACTTCTCGTTCAATCGCTGCGTTCGCGTTAAATTTTGAACAATCGAGGTTTCCTGCGGAAAGCAGTGAACGGGTTCGCAATTTTCAATTCAGCAAAAAGTACGACGGCAGCATGTTATTCCGTCGGTAAGCAACCCTTATCCGCGTCGTCGATAAAATCGTAGTCGCAAGGGATGTTCTCTCACCTTATATTTTTCGCTCCACCGCGGCCGTAAAGGAAAATATCGCGCGGCGCCTGGAACCTACGATCAGGGTAATGGTCCCGATTGCGGCTGTAGAAGATCCTCGAGCACGGTCCGCTCCCGTATGGATCCCCGTCCTGATGGAGATCGACGAACTCGTACAGAGCGCGGAAATTCACCGGTCTGCGGGACAGAGACAAATTTCACGGTCATCGTTCAGTGTCATTCTCCAGCTCGTTAGCCTGTCCAGCACGGGAAACGAGTTATTTCGTTGCCCCAGAAACGTCTACGTTGTTGTTCCTGTAGAATTTACGCTGACTCTTCGTTAAGCTCGAGTAATTAAGATAATAATAACGTACGGTCCGCGCTGGACTTAATTTGAGGGAATTAAAAGAATTGAAATTGAAATTAAGGGGACCCCTTTGGTTTTAGGAAACGATGCGTAAAAGTTTCCGGAAGTTTCGGTCGCGATTCTTGGTGACTATCGACTTTCTAACGACGTAAAAATTAGTAACATTAAAGAACCTAATAATAACGGCCAGTGACCATAAATATTCGTACCCTCTGTGTTTATCGAAGGAATTTGGCTAAATTGAACGATAGGTTCGACGTTTCAATTTTTCATCGTGTTTATCCGTGTGCATGTTTATAATGAAACATATATACATGAATACATCGAACCTGTTACTCAATCTAGTCAAACTTCTTTAACTCTTTATTTACTGAATGTCTCCAAAGTTTTTAAAATCTTGTTCTTATATCATCTTATAGAGTTGTCTCTAACAAGCTTCCAAAAACAAAACGTGTGCTGTCACTTAACAATGAAAAAACGATCTTCATAGAAGTGGATTTAATTTTTAGCGAAATTGATACAGCACCGCGAGAAAGCTAACGGGACTTGTAAGTTCCGTCAGTGAATAAAGGGTCGATGGACACGTACGAATATTTATGAGACCGACCGTACGTATAATAAATTTCAGTGTAATAATTCCGTTCAGCCGTAGAGTTCCCTGAAGTTGAAGGAACCTCGTCGCAATGGGACGTTGGCGAGAGCACCGCAGGCGCTGTCCGTTTTATTAATTCCTCGCGCAGAAGGGACGTTCTCCGATCAAGAAATTATCCGTTGAAACGGGTTGGCAAAGGCAGATGGGGGACGGTGGCTTCGAGTGGAAGAAGGATTAACTAGACCGTGCGACGCAACCGCGGTTCCGTGTGCTCTCGTGTCGGATATCACGCTTGAACACGCGCCCTGGTCTCGGGTCTTCGGGAAAAATAAAATGTAAATAACCTCTTTGCCGCCCCGTGCGCGACAGGGTGAAGGAACGTCGAAACCAGGGGATAATTACGGAAATATCGAACGCTGGGGAACACATCCTTATGGAAGAGCGTGGATTCTAGTCCGATAATAACGGAGTTCAGTACAGAGACCGAGTAAGATTGCGCCGGCATCGTCGTCGCCATTAACCCTTTGGCGCTCGGGAGGCGACTGAGAAGCAACGGTCTTCGATTATCTTAGTTTTTCTTGAACCTTGTCAGAAATATTAGTTCACGAATAGATTCCACGTTGAAGTGCTAGTGAAATATTTTATTTCACGGCAGAAGGAGGTTTAGTCGTCTAAATTGTTCTCTAACGAACCGAATGTATCTCTAACGAAATATTTTATTTCACGGCAGAAGGAGGTTTGGTCGTCTAAATTGTTCTCTAACGAACCGAACGTATCTCTAACGAAATATTTTATTTCACGGCAGAAGGAGGTTTGGTCGTCTAAATTGTTCTCTAACGAACCTAACGTATCTCTAACGAAACTATCGCCGAGTGCAAAGGGTTAATGGTGTTCTTAACTCCTAGCCCCTACGATTCACTCCGGGACCACGCGCGTCGTAGTCAGGTGAAGAATCAGGACGATACGAGTTCCACCCTTCTGGAACTTCTGCTCCCTCCGCACGGTTAGTATCAGAGTTGATTAACCGCAACTCGCTAAGCAAGCTACAACTCTACGCAGCGATATGAGACTACAAACTGTTACCACGATGGTCTAACCCCGTCGACCGCCTCCAGGGAACTGCGGAGCTGATTAATCGCGGAGCTCGAGGAGATCCGAGTCTCAGTCTACCTCTTGCGACTTGTGGTATCGTTCGAGTCGACGGGGAGGCCGTTGTGGTAGCGTTCGTCACCACTTCTAGACGAGTTATCTCGCAATTCTTGGCAGCGGCGAACCAGTGTCTCGAGTACGGACTACCGTCAGGTATATTTCCTCTGTTCTTCTTTAGCCTAAGCGATCCACGGGACGTTCCCTCGAGCCAGGGATCGAGGGGTACACGTAATCGGCGAGTATGAACGAGCTAGGAACTACCGTGGCGATATCGAGTCGGATTTGCATCGGTTGCAGAGCTCCTAAACCTCTATCGGTTCCGAATGGATGGCGTCATTAACTGCGATTCGATACGCAAACCGAAATACCAGCAGGCGATCGAGGGTCATCGACCTCCATCGCGATTATCCCGTGTAATACAAGATATCGAGTTACTCCTGTATAATAAATTCTCTGCCGATGGTTCGCGTATCGGCGATCAAAATTTCTGAACGTTGAGCGAAGAGTCCTGGCGGATTCCTCGGATTACGACTCGTCGTCTCGGACGTCGGAGAGATGGAAGCTCATTTCCCGCGATACTCTGGCTAAAATCTACTCGCGTACTCGTTCGAGAGAAACATAATACAGCGGCGTCGATCGATACCAGCGCTCAACGTTCCACCGCGAAACGAAGGGGGAATATAACGATTCGAGAGAGCCTGTAATTGAAACGGAAGCCTATCTTGTTTCCTCGTGCTCGTGTCGACCAAATATCATTAGTTGATCCGGAAGAAGAAGAGGACGACGCGTTCTCTAGTAGTATAATGTAGGTACAGTTGATAACGGATCATCCTTAAGAGTTTCGTTGCGAGCGTACCTCAGAGCTGTGGACTCGATCATCCGCATCTCGATGGTCAGGCTGTTCCCGCTGGAAACGAAGCTCTCCCCGAGCGAGCACGGACGGCTGGTGTTTTGCAAGATGGCGTGGTCGCAGGTCCTCGGCACCTTGTCCTTGCAGTAACGCGCCAGGAGCGTGGTGTTGCTTCCGGCTGGCCGAGCGATCAGAGGCCGAGCCGGCTCGATGACTCTTTCGCCGTGACGTTGGTGGTCCTTTTCGCTGTCGCAAACGGAAGTTTTATGATGATTAACACGAGACAGGAATGCTAACTTTGCTACTAACGCTACTTTGATTCGTTTAGGAAAGAAATAAATCAGAATAAATCAACTAAATGTCTGAATAAACCAAAGTAGCGTAATGTTATTCGTGGTAATGTTACTTTGAATAAATCAAAGTAGTATAACGTAATTTATCGTAATGCTAGTTCGATTTATTTCTTCGTGCTATTCGCATGGAAACAATCCGAGGAGGTGGTACGCCTTTGAAAATGTGCTCGAGAGAATGTATCTGCTATCTTGGTAGAGAACTTTGGTTCTCTGGGCTTCCAACGTCCCCTCAGATGGCAATGACATCCGAGTGCAAAGGGTTAAATTTGCGGACCATTTGGAATCCAGAGGTCGAACTCGAGGGTAAACGTCGGTTAAGGAGCTCCCAGAGAAATATAGCGCGCGAAGATAGTGGAGCCGGCAAGAAAGCAGGAGTCTCCCGAAGCGACCAGCAATGCGATCGGTAAGGGTTCGTCGATGCTCGAAGGGATAGTCTCGAGCTCGCGACTGTTGGCGAGTAATTAATCAAAGGCGGTTCAACGGACCAGGCGAGGTCGTTGCACTCCGCCAGCGGCATCATCTCTCCGTCCCACACCATCAGGGTCGTCGAGCAGTCCTCGTCTGTGCTGGTTAAACCGGTGCCTACATGGAACTTCAGGATGGACAGCCAGACGCGGAACTGCGGCTGCGGCGGTCTAGGCGCGGGCCTCCTCCACACGGTGCCCGGCCTCTGCTCGGGAAACTTTGGCAAAGGACGCGGTGGCGTGGGACTGGGGACCAGAGGACCGGCACCCCGAAGATGGTACAGACACGTGCTGTTCCGCGGCAACGAGTGCCGCGGCGATGCCAGCACTCCGCCCCCGCTGCCTTGCAGCCAGAACTCGCAGTGTTTGTTCTTCGCGTACGTTGGCGAGTCCGCGTCCACGAACCTCACCTGAAATCAGACGGAATCGCTGGTTGGACCGATCGATCGAGGACGGATCTGACGATAGGTGGAAATCCCTGATGGGGGAATTTTAACAAAACTTCGCTCGATTGTTATTCGATGAAATATGAATCATGCGTGCCTATTTCGATTTCGGTTGACCAGTTTTGTGTGTAACGATATAAATATGTTGTAATTTTAACACAGATCCGTATGGAATATACGAATCTTTTTCAATTTATATCAGAATGCGATGGAGGAACTTGCTGAAAATTTGATATGTTGTAAAAACCGATATTAATACGTGTACAAATAAGTTCGGTGCCTTTACATATATTCAGCTGTAATTGTATTTCAAATGGAAATTTTTCCCCCGCCAATTAAAATTTGCTGTTATCCAGACAGTTGCGAGCACGCTGCAATAAAATACATAAAAAAATCAATTCTCAACATTGTTGAAAAATTCATCCCACCGGAAGAAGAAGAAGAAGAAGAAGAAGAAGAAGAAGAAGAAGAAAAAGGAAGGAAAATACCGTAATCGCGAAACCAAGGGAGAAACGTTCAGGGTTGGAGCTGTTACGGTTACAAGCGCGTTCGCGTTCATTCTGAAAAATGGCGTCGACTACCTATTTAAATGCGATCCGTGAACAGGCCGTACTTTATCCCTGGAAGGCGTAAAGCACGCTGTCCCGATTCCCTCTCTCACGCTCTCTGAATGTTTGAAGAGAATTACCACGTACTTGCACTTCTAATTGAAAGCCGTGGAGCGAGTGCGGAGGCGTAGTGTGCAGGAACGTGCCGTAAGGAGACGTAGTGAACTCGACGAGGATCTCCGGCCCGCTGCTGGTGGCCTCGGGCACCGGCTCTCCGCCGCCGCAGAATTTCAGGATCACCGGGTCCCTGGTCGTGTATCCGTCGTACACGGTCACGTAGTCCTGCGGGGCAAACGAAATCCTTCATCTAATTCCGGCAGCGCGCGAAATAAAAGAGGAGCCGATTTTGTTTCCGTCCTGGAAAACGTTCGAGCTTCGCGATTATTTTACCGCAAGTACACGATGCGATTCCGTATGGATTCTTGAATATGGTATTTCGTTTCGAAATTGGTAAGGCTATTGTTAAGCTATTGTTAAGCTATTGTCGGTATGGATGTACAAAATTACGACATTCCCCCAAGTCCAAAAACACTCTTCTCTTTCACGCCTCAAGTTCTCGTCGTCCATGAATTATTTCGAAGTTGTCCTCGCGCTCTACGGTATCCATGAATTTTAAACATGGCATTCTCCCTCGTAACCGGCAGCTTTACTCAATTTTAATCGCCCGAGCGCGGGTTACGTTGGCCGCGAAATCGTCCAGTCAGCAGACCAAGGCTCTCCCCTAATTATCAGGCGGACGCTCGCAAATTTTCCGTCGCCCTCCTACACTTTCCATATTATCCGCGTTAACTAGCGTTGCTCCATAGTCTGCCGATAAATTCCCCTTATCAAGCTAGGCCACACGGTGGCCTTCATCCCCGATCCGAATTTAGTTACCTGGGGGCTCTTTCTCTCACCCCGCGGTGCGCGGATCGGGAAAATTGCGAGCGCGGGAGGATTCGATGATTTAAGAAGCGGCTCCCAGGGCGAAATTACCATGTAAAGTAACGTGTGTGCTCTGTATTATCGGTAGGACGGTCACGCGCGCCCGTTTCCACGATGTCTCGAATTTATATCGGTTTATCCAATTTACCTGGCGACTTTTACGTACCTGAACCACGTCGCAGTCCTTCCAAAGGCGAAGCTCCCGGGGCGAGGATTCCGCCTGGCTGTCCGCCCGTGCCCTTATGGCCACCAATTGTCCACGTGGCTGTTTCACCGAAATTAAGGCATGTTTTCCCGCTGGAACGTCGCTCTGCCTCACCTGTGTCCCACACACGCGGTACATAGGTAAGATTAAAACTGGACGACGACTGGGGAATTTGTAGCTTTCGCAGTGTGCAGTTTTCACTGTACTCTGTGTGCTCGGTAATGCGATTACTCGGTAGGGGTAATTGTATTGCGGCCCTACTACACGCGAGCAACTCGTGAAATACAGAATTACGTATTTAACAGAATTCGTGTCGTATCAAAGAGTATCGTTAAACGTGATATTTAAAAAATTGGAGCTTCGAGTGGCACTTCAGGAGTACTTCGAAATTCACTGTTTGTCTACCAGGGATTCCTCTATCTTTCGCTATTTTTCCTGAACCTACGCGAACTTTCGTTGCACCCCGTTGCTAACAAGGAAAGCTTTTCAGGTGTTCGGCTCCGAGTAATATAAAATATTAAATAAATAAGATATAAACAATAAAAACACGTATATCTTATTTTTGATGTTTGTGTGTGTTATACGTCTGTTGTCCTGTTTTCACACTCTTTCTGTAACGTTGGGGCTGATTATTGTTGTTTGCCCTTTTGTATAGTGGTTGACGTTCGTGTGCGTTATACGTATATCTTACTTTTCGGTCCTTTAAACCATATCCAGAAATCAAAACAATCGGAGGCGGACATTTAAACAGCTTTCCTTGTAAGTACTACGTAAACTCTAAAAACAGTCGCCGAACGGACCAACGATCGCGCACGCAATGGAGATCGTCCCGGATCCCAACGTTTAATCCTCTCCCCTCCCCCTCCCCCCCTCCCTATGTATGCAAATACCGCTAAACCCCCTAAAACTCCATCGCAAATAGGCTACTAACGGAACAACGCGGAAGCAAACAGAAGCGGCTACACGAGCGACGCACCGTCGACTAGCATTCGCGAAGAGTTGCCGTGTCTCAGAAGTCGTTCGCGTTCGCTCGGCGCAAATCCGTGGAATCCCCCCTTTCTTCCACGGATTTGCGCGATATCAATTGCAGTCCCTGCTTTTGGACCCCGTTCGAAGTGGAAATCGTTGTTCCTGTAATGAATATTAACGAAGTTGGAGCGACTCGCGCGTAACACAGCCGGTAATCCCAGGGAGCGATACGTCAACGGGCGAAATCGCGGCTCCCGAGCAAATTGAACGGGTCGATGTGCAGTCATTTCGAAACGAGGAGGATAGAAGGAGGAGGCAAAACAACGCTGGCATTCACGACGAAAATTTACGACGCAACGTCGCGACGGCGCGAACCATTATTCTCCCCGGTTGGCCAGGAGAGACGGTACCTCGACTATCCGCTAAATACGCATCGACGACGAAACGGAAACTCCGCGACTCGATTCGCGCCTGTCCCTGTCCGGTCGAAGCTGGCTCGGGGACGATCTTCCGGTGAGTTGGCGGCGACTAGGCTCTTTGGCTCGCGTTTAGGCAGGGTTCGGAACCAGATAGAGATCGAGGCGTTTAAAACGTGCTAGCTGAATATATTACTTTGCTTAGTAGAAGACTTTAACTAACGTTCGCGTGGCGTAATTGTTTCATCGTCGAAAACTTTGAGGAGATGCGAGGGCCAACTGCAATGGAAACTAAACTGCTCTTGGACTCTCCAAATATTGCATTGATTTCATTCATTTAAAAATAATTAAGGTCAGGCGTTGCTGTCGTTCTCAAATTGTTGCGAAACGATCCTCGCGCGTCCCCCCTTTGCTTGCCGCTCTCTAAATATTGCATTGATCTCCTCAATTTTTTCAGGAAAAATTAAAGTGTTGCTGCCATTCCCAAATGTTTCGGAACGAGCCTCGCGCGTCCCTTTTGGTCGGCAAGGGACTTCGTTGTTCCGACGGGTGCATAAATTTTCAAACAGCTCCTGTAAGGAGAAGAATCGTCGCGGAACGTCGTGACGATTTATGGTTCTGCGGTGTATTCTAGTCCTCGAGCAAAGGGAAAGTAATGACGTCGGGGAAGGAGCGCGACCGAGCGGACCGCTCGACGGAAAAATTGGAAAATTATGAGAGGCTTTCACCGACTCCGGGACGAGAGCTTCCTCGGAAACCGTTCTCCACCTGGAGGAATGGCGATGGCGTCCCTCATTTGGTAGTCCTTTCCGTGGACCTCGGCCCTTTGCATTCGAATGTTCTCTTCGAGAGGGTTGTAAGTCTACCATGGGCGCTAGCGCGTTTCTTCCATACGGAAGCGATGTCTTTCGCCTCGTGTTACGCAACTCGACGCAGCGGAACAGCGTCAACACTTTATCTACTGGGCTATTTGAGAAGCAGACTTTAATTCAAAAAAGAATTTTCTACAGTAGCATGTTTCAATCTAGACCGAACAATAATTCCTCCATACTGTTGCTAGGTACGTTGAAAGCCAAGTCTGTTACGAAACACTGAACATTGTTCGTAGACAATCATCGATACAGTAAATAAATTCGAATAGCTAAATACTGCAATTAAAAAGCCTATAAACAGGCTCCCGGTAAATAAAGTGTCAACAACTCTATTACTCGTGATAATGCAACGGGGTCTACAGACTATGTCTCACAGTGCAACGGAATTATAGACCACCGATCGGTGTGACTGATTCCAATGACCGAAGCACGAAAGAATCTTCTTCTCTCGTCGACGAAACGAGGGAAGGAAAAATTCCACGAACCGGATACGAGGATATTCAGATTTCCAGGCGATCGAAACGCACGCGCTTTGTGTATTCCAAACAGCCCTCGAAACCAAGCAATATGTTTGTCCCAAGCATTTTCGTCCATCGAAAAAAGTAATCGAGTCCATTCGGGTCTGTGTTTCCCTGTTTCGAGTGTGCAAGGTACTCCGTAGCAAATTTGTCCCGTAGACTTTTCAATTACCGCCCCCATGCTGCACTCGCACGTGCGTCGGTGAACGGCAAATTGGCCCGTAGGCTTTTCAGTTACCCTTCGTACTCGACGCTCGCGCAATGGCGGAAAACACGGTAGACTCTTTTCTGGGGTCGTGCCTCAGACGCGGAGATCGTCTTAGCGCCGTAACGAAGTTTGAATGAAATATGGCGCGGAACGACGGGACGATATGGAGCACACGCGGGACGAGCCACTCGACTCCCGCCACCTTAAATGACTCTCGAATCATCCGTTGTATAGAAAATGCTGCCATACAACGGTCGTCGTCGTGGCAGGGAGCTGCGTTGAAAAAGCGAGGGAACAAGGAAGAGATTCGTACGTTACGTTCGGGCCCACGAGTGTTTACACGAGTTGCACGTTTTAAATAAAATAGCCGGAGTCATTACGCGAGAGACTCTTTTTCGAATGACTCTCCAGAGTTGTGCTATTTAAACAAGTCTAAATGAACGAAAATTACAGCCACGATTTCCGTCATGTTTTCGCTAAATAATTAAGAAATCGATTCCGAAGATCGAGTGTCGAAGAATACGGATCTTGATAGGATTCGTAAATTTCCTAATCCTAGCGCAAATATTAGATTCGATAGTTTCCGATTGCGTAAAAATCAAATGTCAGCTTTGTAAATATTTCACGAGTATGGCGGCAAAGTTAGATGGGGCACCACCCCGGCAGGAACGCGTTATCCCGGTTCGATATTCCGCGGCGACGATGCACCGAGTGCAAAAGTTTTCGGTGCAGTGTCTCCCGCGGGACTTACCGCGTAGTAGCAGGTGAGATTACGTGGATAGAGTCCGGGGAAGTTGGGCGACTGCAGCCTGCACTTCTTCCGGTCGCAGTCGCTGAATATGCGGGAGCAGTAGGTACCGGATATCAGCTCGCCGAGGTATTGCTCGCCGCTCGGCTTCGATGGCGTCGCGGACTGCTCCACCGTCTGCATCGCCATCGAGGTGTTCGCGTACTCGCTGGACGACGAGGTCGTCGTTGGCTCGGTCGATGCCGGCGTTTCCGACGCTTGCGTTATCCCTGGAATCGAGATTACAACGTTCGATGCAATCTGCGAGTGAACACTGACCTAATTATCCTAACCGTAACGTCCCTGACTGTCCGCAACGCCTATTTGGATGATACGATACGAACGTCTGTGCCATAACAGGCTCGTGTCTTCGAGGAAGACGTAGGGGTAGTTAAGTAGTCGTCGAATCAGATTTGTCCCGCCGCTTCGAGTTATTTGTACTCTTTATGTCGATAGTACGGGTAAAAATATAGGGAGATATTTGAATAAGCGTGAATAAGGAGAAATTTGTTTAAATTAAATGCTAGGTTTGATGTTTCCAAGTATATGTTTGTATAAATATGTATAAGCTTGTTCGTGTACATATTTATAAGAAAGAATTCATTTGGTGATATCAGAACTATTATTTAATTTAGTCAAACTTCTTCGATAGACATAGAAGGTACGAATACTTATGGGACTGACTGTAAGCAAAAGAGCTTTTTGATTAACAAACGATCAATGTCAAGGGCAAAGTGTTAATCGAAACAAATCTGGATAGAATTCGTACATGTTGACGGTAACACAAAAATAAGCCGATACGACAAACGTTAGATTTCGCAGTTCCCAATTGTCTCGAGGCAAAATTTCAACCCTGAATCTGCCAATCGACGTGTTAAACGTCAACCGACCATCTCCCGATCCTTGTAAAACGTTATAAGAAGTTGGTTAGCCGTCGAATGTTTCAACCTATCCTTTAACCATATTCCTTTTAACACCTATCCACTCAAATGTACGAATATTTATGGGACTGACTATATATTAAATACCAAGAGTCCAGAGACCGAGGAACTTTGCGAGCAGCCGTTTCGTTTTCATTCTTTAAACATCCGTTCCATACGCACCGACAAACGGATTCCCGTAACGCACCACGGCGTCGGACTTCCTGATCATCTTGTACGCCATCCTGAAGTCGAAATTGAATCCCGTCTGATCCTTGCTGAGCCTGAGGAGCTTCAGAAATATGGAGACGACCGGCGTTTCGCTGTAGTAAGTCGCGGGCCTCCGGGACGTTCCGCACCAGAGGCCACCGACATCCGGTCGTTGTGCCTCCGAAATTTGTAGCGACCCATCCGGGCAGCCCTCCGCCGTGAACGACACGAATTTCCCCAGGGTGAAGCTGTCGAACGTCAACTGAAATCGGGAGAACGTGGACGTCAAGTGGCCGGCCAGAAATCGGTGAACGATAAGGACGATCGGTTTCTTAAAAAGTTGTTACGAAACGTGGGACAATTCGTTGTTAGTTTAGATATTGTGTGCAAACGATTAAAGGTCCGATTAAACTAGAAATAATAAAAGTCTATATTTATTGTATGTCTGGTACAACGGCGTTCAACGACGACTAACGACTCTCGACTGCCACGACGTCTATCTACCGAACGCTTCCTTCGCTTTTCGTCGCGTTTGTTTATGGGTATTTCCCCAAGACGCGTTTTCGTCGATGGACCCGAGAGGGGAAGTGCGTTGCAGCCCTTGCTTCGCCAGGTTTGCAGGCCTTTGACGCGTCACCGTAACCCTATCACAAATCTTAGCCTACATTTATCCTGTTCGCTTATCCTACATACATTTACCCTATTTGCTTATCCTACAGTATCTTTTGAATCTCCGTCGCGAGCTCGACGGATGCGTTTCGTAATTCATCTCGTATATCTTTCTGGTAACGATCGGATATGAAAGTCCAGGGTGCGGCCGACTCCGGGCGTAGGGAAATACGAAAGTCGAGGGGGAAAAAAATGAAGCGCGTTGAACGTGTTAAATACCGGGTAGCGAGTACTCGTCTAATTCCTCGAAACTGCTGCGGTTCCCTTTGATAGGAACGGCAAACACCGGGGAATAGCTGTTGCAGCGTATAAATAATTTGGCAACGGACGAGCTGGAAAGTTCCATTCGCTGTGAAAGTTTTCGGGGGCACGAAGCTATTCGCGGGACAGGCCGGTTCGGACTCTAGCGCGAGTCTAGCAATTTGCGTTATTAAAAATTCCAGCGTTGATTCTTGTTCGTCTGCCAACCGCGGCTCTCCCTTGTCCTTCGCTCGGAGAATTTTTTCGCTTCTGTTTCCCCTGAGCGTTGTTTCGACGGGAACGATAACTTTTCTCGTTGGCCTGTTAACTGACCGCGTCCCCCTTCATTTTTCTTTTTTCTCGTCGCGACCGAATCTGTTTGTTTCCCGCGGAAAAGGGCTTTCGACCCTAGCGCGTCGGGAATACTCGAAAAGGAGATAGATCTGCGCGCTAGATGCTTTAGACATTCAGACGTACGCGTACGCGATATCATATCTAACGGCAAACCTGTCGAGATTTCGTTTGCATTTCTTCGGTTGAATGCGGAAATATTTCGGCGGTGCCGGTGCTAAATTGAATAATGCGCGAAACAATGGTTTATATGTTTGATAAAAGAACCGCGTATAAAAGTTTGAAAATGGTTATTCGACCGTTCGTGGTATCATATTGAGTCGTCGTTGTAATCGTAATCGTTAATGTTAGAATTGTAACAATTAAATGGAATGTAGTACTAACGTTATAATATAAATGAAAATTGCATTTCCCGATGTCCTCCAGGTGTCGAGAGCGAAACAAAATCTTTTAAAGCAAAGGCGAAGGAGCAATCGAGTTCGTGGTAGGTTTAGAGTTAAATCCTCGCGATAAGAAACATTTTCAACCTCGTGACGTTGAATTCTGACATAGTTAAAGTATAATGATTTCGCATAACCAAAAATGTTAGACAAAGGACCGAACGCACGGTAAACTTGTATCTTTATACGTAAACGATGGGGACAATTTTACCTACGTATAACCATTTACTACGTATAACTGGGTTTTGCTTCAGGAAAAATGTTTCGTAAATTAACCTGAACGATGTCTCCCAAATCGCCACCCGACGCGCTGAAGGTGAGCTTGCAAAAGTAAGGCACCTTGTCCTCCTTCGGTCGAAGAAGCTCCAGGTCGTAGGTTTTTCCCACGTCGCCGTAGTACGTTTTGTTGCAGGCTGCAACAAGAGAGAAAAAGAAAGACTTTCAATTGAAGCCTGCCAGGGGAGTTCGCTGCAAAGGTATTTCACTCTAGCTTGGAAACGGAATTCCTACGAAGGAATCGTTTGGCGAAGAGTGCGCCTCGAGCGCCTTCCATTCTAATGCCTCTTTTTCCGCGATTTCAGATATTACTAAGAAAGGCTAAGAAATCGACGTGAACGAATCGATTCGATTTGCTGTCCAATAAAATCTCGTCCTCGGCACGAGTGCGCCAAACGATTCGATTGGGGTATTATAGGAACCGGAGTCCGGGATCAAAGGGACTGGATATCGGGATAATCGACTTTTTTCTTTAGTCTGTCAAACATAAACGTGGAATATCGGTAACGTCGTAACGATACGAAAATATATCTTTCAGATTCAATTCTCAACTTTTTACATTGCGTACCTTGCTCGTTAACCCTTTGCGCTCGAGAGGTGGCTCTCAGTCGCCGCTAGGTTTCCTTTAGGTTCAATTTCTTTGGAACTCCAAGTGTCGATAAAATGATCGTCGTTGAAGCAAAGGTGACACGATTCTCAAATCTCGAATTAGAGATCTCGTTTTCGGAGTCGATCTAATCTGATACCAGAAAAAAACGCCTCGAGTGCAAAGCGTTAATAGTTTCCCAAAATTGTTTAAATTGTTTTTTCAGGTAGATATACCCCTCCCAAGGAAATGAAATCGACGCGTGGACCCGTCACGTCGGTCTGCCGGGTTTAATGGATATTCACGAAAACAGAAATTACAAAAAAAAAGAGAGAAAAAAGAAGAAAAAAACCGGGTTCTCGATCAAAGTCCAACCGGTGCGGAGCGAGTTTCTCGCGTCACAGGCATTTCGCGGCTGGCATAGTGTTCAGTGGATTATCGATCACGCGTTTATCGGGGGTAATCATCGCGTCGCAGATATCGAGGCTCTCGAAAGGCCCGTCGCTGATTCACGGTAAATACCCGTATCGTTTTTGAAACCTGTCCAACTGCGGATGCGATACACCCCGGACGGTTGTGCGATCGGCGACTGGCTCGAAAACGCGATTTCATGCCGATCGATCTCGGCCGGTTCGAGCGGTGCTAATTAAAATTCTGCCGCGAGGTCGCGCCGGTTAACAAAGGTACGCATTCTGGACGAGAATCTATCATCTGTTTCAGGTGAAACGAAAAAAAAATTGAACAACATTTACTTTTCTATGGTTAAGTAAAAGAAAGTTCTTTTTCACTCTTGGGCAAAGAGCGAGAGAATTCTGGCAATTCGTGGGGCTAGGAAAATGATCGAATTACTCCCAACGACATGTAAACACTGTTCGTTTGATATTAGAACGTAGAAGAATCTTTTTTTTATTACAAAACCTTGCACCCTCTGCTTGGAATAAATTCTGTACGAACTATCATACTTGGGAACTACCGTTCACGAAGTATCTATCAAAAATGTTCGGAGAACGTAACGGGGTTTAGGATTTGATTTCCAATCACTTTTTGTTACGGTCCTTTCCGTCGTGGATCTAGTGGTTGTCGCGCGCACAACTTTCACTCTGGACGAGAACTCTCTGTAGCCGTTACAGTCGCGGATAAAGAGAATCGAGTTCCCTCCACTTCCGAGCCGGCTCTTCTCTCGGCGAACACTCGAAACTAATCAATTCGACGGTGACGTTGTTTTTAACAACGGGCGCCGCGCTCGCAGAAAGATCGCGCCGTGCCGTTTGAAAGGAAACCGAAACGCACTCGGCGATCGAGTTGCTTTGGCTTCCTATCGCGTGCTCTCCGTGCAGAATCACATTGAACAGGACGGCTTGATTACAATACCGTTTCATTGTGGGGCTTCAAGGGCTCATCATGGACGTGTAGGACGGAGATCGGGGGCTACGTCGTTGGGCCGTCGCACACCACCGCCAGGGGTGAATGGATCGGGAACACAATGCCCGCCATTTCCAGCCATCGGGTCTCGCTCCTAATCAGAATCCCAGTTTGCCCGACTAATAGCGCGCCTGAAATCTATCCTCCTTGGCTTCCACTGGCGCCGCAATACGTCGATGTAACTCGATAGTCGGACAATTTTCCTCGCAAATCGATTCCACCGACGAACAATCGACGACCTACTCGCGACCTCTCAATGCGGATCCATTTTTAATCAAGAACTTACTCGACGTTACTGGCGCGATTGGGATATTCTACAAGCTATACTTTCGGGAACAGTTTCGTACGATAACCATTCATTTTCTATATAGTAATCCTACCCTTGTATAATATTTGCTTCTTTTTCTTTTATTACATATTTAACGTCCGATGCGATGACGACTTTGCGTCGCTTCTCGTCGAACTCGCCACGAGATCAGTCGCGTCGACTTTCGACTTTTATGTATGCTCTACGTTTCATGTGTTTATATGTCGTGTGCCAAATACATTAATCTAAATAATAATATACGTTAATCTTATCTGTAATTTATTCGAGTCCTGTCTCATGCCTGCCTTCCTTTCCCCCGACACGTCACGGTTTCTTTCAAATTAGAACGCGAAAAGAGTCCAGCCAATTACCGAAGCGATCGTTACAACATTTGATCGTTCAACATTTATCCCGCGAAAGGAGCCAAAGTATCGACGAGGAAACGACGATTTTCGAAAGTGACAAAGTCTTTATGAACAATCGGGGCGAGGAGTAATTCAATATACGTCGTCGTTAGGTTTAATGACGGGATTCAGGTATCGGAAACCGATAGACGCCACCGAAGTATTACGAATTCAGCAGGTGCATCTGTTACGTCAAATTACTAAAGTTCCCAGCAGCCCCGGGGGCCTGGCCGAGGGAGACTGGCTCGCGCGACTGCGTCTCGCGGCTGACTAATGACTGGCATCAACTACTTCGCGGCGGCGTTTTAGCGCACAAGATGCGTCTGGCTCTATCGCGCGGCTGTGAATTCTGACGAATTGCGCGGCTTTGTCACTGCTCGAACCCGGTCGACCGTCCTCGTTCGACGCGCGGAACGCGCAGGGCGTTTGAACCCGTGTACAAGAACAGAGAAACCCTTCCGAACGTCGTGATTAATAATTCCTCCAGCGTCACAGCCATCCCCGTCTTCGTTTACAAGCGTCCTAGTTCCGCTGCCTTTGCCGTCCTCCTTTGTACTCCCGTCTTATTCTCCGCTCGTTTATTTTCTTTCCTACCTTTTTTTCTCCCCCTACTCTATCATTACTCGTCCGTTTATTAGCTCGGGATATTAAATGAATTCCGCCAACGTTGAAAATGAATTCCACGGTATTACGTGGCTCGAGACGGTAGGAGAATTCTAACAATTGGCCGGGATGTACAATTTTCTCGATCGATAAAAGTACGTTTATATTCGATCCTAATAATTATTCATTCGGTGTCGAGTTATTCGACGTTGAACAAAATTCGTATTACCCTTTTGGCGTGCAACCACGGGGCGAAACTACTGGCAAGGAATTTGGTCCGATAAGCACGAGTCTGACTCGCGGTGCCTCGTTCGGATTTCCTTTCTTTTTAATATCAAGGAGTTGATAGAAATTACTAACGTATTTTATTACATTATATTGCACCGATGTTTATACTTGTTAGGTCAGTCTCGTCCTAACCATCAGGTTCTAATATAACATTTAAAATACATTTGAAATACAGTGTTTTTCTTATACGCCATCTACTGTTATTATAATATTAAGAAATATTCGTGGGTGGTTTTGCTCCTTACTGTTTCACCCCTGACGAGCCTTCGACCCCGTTTCGCTGGCACCTCGGGATGCGTCGTCGCGATAAATCCTCGACAGGTGACGCGGTCTCCCGCGGATTCCCGCTAATATTTTAGTACGCAATAAAATATGGACTCCTCGCGCCGAGTGCTTTTCCATTTATCGCGCGTACGATAACGACCCCTGCGAGACGCGCGAGTTTAAATCACGGACCACTTTCAGCCACCTTAAACCTACGGCAGAATGCCAACTATCGCGGCGAGTGTAGTTGCGGCTCTGTTACGGCTCTGTTACGGCTCCATAATCCCGCGCGGATAACTTTTCCCGAGGTGAATAAATTCTAGAACAGTCCCAGAATTCTTCGAACAGTCCCGCGTGGATCTCCGGAGTTGGACGAATCATTTTACGATGTTTTACGGGTAGAATAAATATCGCGTGTTCCAGGATCCCTCTTGTCAAGCTGTAATTGCTGGCGCTCTCGTCGCTGGAACGTATTCATCGAGGTAACCAGGAGCTAGGCGCTCGTTAATCGTTAAACTTTCGCCGCTATCGCGCAAGAGTATCGCATAAACTATGCAGGCAAGCGTATCGCGAGTCTCGACTTCGAAGCGACTCGAACGTGTCCAAGATAAAAATATCGAGTTTCCAAAATTCGAGCTGAACGGAGCTCATTTTTGAGGTGTACGAAAACTTCATCGTGTCCTGGATTAACAAGGAAGGAACGAGTTGGCATGGCCAAAGTATCTTCGCATGCAAAAGTAGTATGTATACACTCAGCGATCCTCGAAAGAGAAGAGGGCAGATAAGAAACATTACATCGGGTCGCCAAAAAATAAACGGCGTTTATCCAACCGGAAACTCACACGTATTTCGCGATTCCAAGAGGTAGAAACGAATGGATGGATAAATGGAGATAAAGAAGAACACGTAGCGACTGAATAAAACGTGTCGGGGTCTCGCGTATTCAGCGTTGCTCGGTTCGTTTCGTTGCTGGAAGGATGCAGACTCGCGTCGGGCATCCAATCGAGTCGGTAGGTATATACGCGCGTTAAATTTGCTCGAATCAAGCAAGATCCAGCTAGACGGTAGAATCGTAGGGGGACGGATAAAATTGGAAGAAACTCGAGAGGTTCGTCGGTGTATGTTCGAAACGATTCGAAGCCTGTTGAACCCGTCGCTGGGCACATCCAATTTGAGGTTCTCCTTTCTTGTCGGCGGCCCACGCGAATCCAGTTTCCCCTGAAGATCCATTTGCAAGAGAGATGTACCGATGTCACGAGGGAAGCCAATCGAAGCTACCGTGCGATCAGTGGCCCATCAAGAGGAGTGGTTTTGCGGCTTCCCCCGTAGAATAGAGAAAGAAAGTCATTCAGAGGGGACGTTTGATAGCGAGAGCTCTTCTTCGCGAAATATCTGTGATCGTTTGGCTTCCGCTTCTTGTCCCGCGATTGATTCCCCGTTTTCAATACCTCAGCCGCGCGATTTCGAAAATCTCGCCGATCTGTGCGTTTTCAGCGACGAATCCACGCGCGTCTGGATCGACGGGGCTTCTCCAACGGGGAATACGATGATATTATTCCGCGATTAATTAATCCGTGTGTTTGACTTGTTCGTTTAATCCTTATAGCTCTATAAATGTAATTAACAAGAAAAGTAAACGGCCGTATCGTATTCAGGGCAGAGGCTCTCGCCGTCGCTGATTAATTCAGCAGTGAAAGGGTTGAACGTATCTGAATCTCGGACTTTCGCGAAATTCGCTTCCGTTTCGAATGAAATCCACGATCCTCTCGAGGGGAAGCGAATGATATCCCGCACCCGAACGAGTTCTCGCGTTTCACGTTAACGCGAGGGAACGCTGAGCAGCGGAGAAATTAGGAAAACGTAGTTGGAAATGGGTATTGAACCCGAAACAGAACTTTCGAGTCGTCGTTCCACCTGGCGTGTCGCCAATCGCGAATCGGCCCTAGTTGGCAACTGCGACGCGACTGCAGCGTTTAAACGAAACAACCTGGTGTACTCGAAAACTTTTCGGTTCGACTAGACCCCTGTCATCTTCCGACGTAATTTTGAAAGAGAAACAAACGGGAGACGGTCCTCGTTGGTTCTCGTCGACCAAGGAACGGGTCGCGTTTCACCGCGTGAAAACAAAAGCGAAATCCGAAAGCAATCCTCGGATCGAATTTCCGTTATAAACCGACGCGTCAAGATTTTCTGTTGCTCTCTTCCTTCCGACGCGACCCGGCATTCGCGGGCGTCGCCTTAACGCGTCGCGCGAATTCCATTCCGACGAGAAAAATTCGCCCGGTCGTTTATCGAGAAAAAGAATTCCGGGATCGTGTGTTTTCTGTTTCAAACATCCACGTCGACGTCGTGCCGCGCGAGGATCGACGCACAGCCCGGACAAAGAAAAGGGAGCAGAAAATGGAAATAAAGTACGAGCCGTGGATGTATAAACGTCAGGGGTTGGATAGAACCCCGTTGGCTTCGCGAGTGCTCGTTTTGAAAAGGATACCCGCGCTTTCGCGGTTCTATCGTCGGCCTGTGGATCGAACAACGAATTTCGATCGCGACGATGCACTCCGTGGGCTGGGAACGTTTTCGCGTTCTTCGATAAAATTATCGATGCCGCCAATGAACCTTTGGGTGGCTGACGAGTTGGCGATTCGTTACGTTTCACGTCGCGACGTTCTTTTCACTTTTCATTTGATGTCTTAACCATGTACAGACGGTGTAAGAAGTATTCGTACAGCAAGCAATTTAAAATAAAATTAATAAGAAAGTAAATAAGAGGTCGACATTAAAAGTAATAATCTTTCGTTTACGCATAATTTACTCTAAAGATGCGTAGAAATGTTGGTTAATTATTTATTTCCCCAAAAATTTATTAATAAAATAAATATAGGAAATATAGGAATAAATATAGGTTTTATTTTGAATTGGTTCCTGTACGAATACTTATTGCACCGACTATTACGTAACTTTCTCGCGATGTTTATTTCGTGACAAATTTCTAGGTAAATATATAAACTAAGCAAACGAAATAGAAGAAAACCGACGAGTATTCGGATACGTGAATTCGTGCGAAAATAAAAGAAACGATGGAAACATTGAACAGGAAGGCAATTCTTTTCAAAATTAAAAAGGATGAATAGAAGGCGAAACTTTTAATTGCGAGTGTAGTTTGCCTGTATTCGGTTTCCTCGCGATGGGAAATACGAGGCGGAGGGGGGTGGGGGTGGGGGGGTGGGGCTGTTAATGAACCACAAATCGTCGGGTAAGGGTGAAAGCAACCCCGTGGGCGCGTTTCCCATTGACGACGATGCGTCCTCCTTCGCGGCTCGTCCTCGTCCGTTTGTCTGCGCCGTTTGAAAAGCGTCGAGCACTCGTCGACGACACGTCGCGTTGCGCGTCGCAAATTGTGCGCAGTTGCGGGCATCGACGACGCGAAAATTCACCCCCGAGCCACGCACAGACGCACCCTAGTCTACCCCTTTCATCTTTCGTTGCTTCCTCTCGTTTCACGTCGCAGCCGTCGTCGCGTTTCGACGAACACTCCTCCTTCGTCTCTCGCTGCCTCCTTTTTGTTATTCACTCCCGCCACCAGTCTCTTCCTTTCTTCCTTCTTCTAGTTTCCCTTTCTCCTTCGAATTCAGCTTTCTGCATTCCGTTCTCTGTTTTCTGATCGAAATTTGTTAATTTTCATCACCCTTTTCTCCGTCCACCATTTCTATCGCCTTCTTCTCATATTCCATCCCAGTTGACGTAAATTCTAACGACCTCCACCTATGTTTTTCCCCTGAAATAAAAGACCACCCTCCAAACCAATAACGTAATTTCGTTGTCGAGAGTACCCGAGCGTTCCCCAGCTCGTAGAGCAACAGATTTCATTAAATATATTCCATACCCCGAACCCTTCGTTCGTCCTTGTTCGTTCCAGCGTCGCCGACCGCTCGCCTTTCTTTCTTTTTTTTTTTATTATTATTATTATTATTTATATATTTCACTTCGTTTCACGCTCGAGGGAATCACGCTCGAAAGGATTGCCAGGGAGCGTAATTAAATTTCGCGGTGAATAGAGAGCATTCCTTTCCCTGAGAGACACCTGAAACGAGCTCGTTTATCGGCCAGCCGTTTCATCCGAACGAGAAAATTACGAATCTCGGTTCTTTGCCATCCGGCGAAATTCACGCGGGATATTTACGCGACCGACAGCGAATCGGGGAGATCGGCGCGCTGGAAATGCTCGTGGACGATCGAAAGGCAAAGAAGAATGTTATCGGACGCTCGGAATGCAATCTAATCGTCTCTGTAAGGTATGCGCGCCTAATTACGATCCTAACGCTTGCGTTGGACACTTTCGACTGGGTTCATTCGCATGGTTAAGGACCTTAACTCGAGGTGAACGACGCCCTCGAGGGTTGCAGCGTACGAGTTGTCGTTGTCACTGTCAGGAGTCGATACCTTCTATCGTAATCGATAAAAGCGTCCTCGCCTAATATCTCAACTGCGAGAATGGCCGCGATAGCTTAATAGGCCGCGTTTTAATATTCGCGATCTGTGGTACAGCGGGTGGATAAGGGGAGGGAGTATCGGCAATTCACAGAGTATCTACAGGGCAGCGGTGCGCATTCGTTCGACTCGCGGAATGAAACTAGAAATACATTCTTAGGGCAACATTATAAATATCGCGCTTCGATTCAGCCCCACGAGAACGTACATTTTTGGTACCAAGCTTGTTCCCTCCACTTACTTTGCGCGTTTTATTGCAAAAAGTGGTTGCGCACCCCTGTCGCAGCGGGACAGAAACGTCGAGGAAGAGGGATGAACGCAGCAGCAGCAGCGGCGGCTGCGGAGGAATTCGCGAATGCCAGAAGGGAACGGCAGGTTGGTTTGACCCAAATGTCTGGTCCGTTGGCTTCCAGCCAGTTCTCTGTGTCTGCACACTCAGCACCCAGCCCCTTTACTTATATTATCTCTCTCCCTACCCCCACAGGATGGTAGGGTGGACACGCGAATCGCTTTGCCAGGACAATATCAATTTCCATCTCTCGATGAATTAATCGGTTGCCAGTTGGTTGCGTCGCTCCTATCTAACGTCAGGCTATCCAAATGACGCGTAAACATCAACGACGCGTCGCCGTGGGAGAATTGGATTTGCTTATAAACGACAGTTCGTCGGTGAAATGAACGATGCGAATCGGCGCTTTACGATCTGGTCAATGACGACCCATCAGCGGCGAACGAGGGTCGATCGGTGTTTAGTGGGTGAAATTTATTTTTATCGTCCGATGCGTCGGTTTATGTTTTGTTCCATTCCCGCGAACGAGATAATGTTTATTCCAGCAGGGAGAAAATTCGTGTTCGTCAACAGGCAAAATTAAAATGTTCCTCCCATGGGCGACGATATTTAACACGGTGATACACCGAACAAGCGAAAATTGATACTAAATTTGTTGTTTAAAAAGAACAAAAAATATGTGTAACTTTCATTCTCCTTTTTCTAATAATTCATAATTTACTGTTTGATCAATCGCAACCAATTGTAAATTTGTAGCTGAAAGTAAGGAGTTCGATGGTTCCCTCCTGAATCGATTCAAATTTCCCGCGAGAAGCCCCGCGATCGCGTCAGCCAATCGGCGCGATTGTTTCAATTTCGATGCGTGGCGTGCTGGTTTCGATCGACGTTCCCTTAATTATTGCCGCCGAGTTATAGCAACAAAGTAATTCGGCCTGTTTTAAGTTGTGCCGCGAAGAGAATATGGAGGACGGAATCAGTTGCGATGACCCACAATTCCTAGACATGTTCGAGACCTGTCTCCGCGTGAAACTCGAAAATGCCAGGAAGGAATTATCGTGTGGGTACCGTGTTGTTAATCGTCTACTTTCGCCATGATACTAGAAATGATCAAAGTAATTTTTCCAAGATAATTTTTCCGAGGATTGTTGGTTACGAAATATTGAATCGTCGTTGTAACCATGATTATTAAGATTAGAATTATAATACTTATTAACAGAATGTAGCGCTACGGTTATAATATAAATGAAAATTGCACTTTCCCGTTGTTCGCCAGGTGTCGAGAGCGAAAAAAAAGATTTTAAAGCGAGGGTGAAGGAGCAATTGAACGCGAGGAAGGAGCTGAAGAAGGCGATGCAGAATACACAGGAGAACATCGTGGTTCTAACCGACGCTTTGAACAAGTAAGGAAGTAGAATCGGTAAACAACAAATTATCTAATAGGGAGAAAGACAAACGCGAAATGTAAACTACGATGTGAAGCAACCAGGACTGATGCAAGGATCGATGTACAACGGATGACGTACCCTAATAATAATAATTATAATAAAAATAATAATAGTAATAATAGAATAAAATAAAAATAGTGATCACAATTCCAAAAAGAATTCACTTACTCCGTTAAATAATCGACTTTCCGTATCCTCGAAAGGCAAAACAAGTACGTTGGAGAATTATCGAACGCTATCGAGCTAACGAAGGCCAACTTGGACGGCGACTACAAGGACATGACCTTGGAATTTCAACAACACCAGGATATTCTCAAGGACTACGAGAAAACGTGGCAGGAGTACCACGTACGTACGTTTTCTGAAATAATCTTCGTCGAGTATTCAGAAAAGAAAATGAATCATTTCCAACACGGTCTGTAACAATAATTGTAACAACTTACGTAGGCCAAGTACGAAGAGTTTCCATTGGCGAAAGCCAGGATGGAAATGAAGGTGAAAGTGGAGAAGCTCCGAGTGCAAAAAATGGTCACGGAGTACAAAATCAACGAGACGAAGAAAAGAGTCGGGCAACGCGAACGGATCGCGTGGATGAGAACGCGCGGGAAGATCGTCGATTTCGCACGCGAAATGGTCAACGACAAGGAACTCGACGAGAGGTTGGAAAGCTTGAATAAGAGGATCGAGAATCGCAAGGAGGAGCTGAACGCTCTGAATAACGAGGTTCGCGCGTCTTGCCGCATTTAACGAAACGGAATAATTCAAATCGCCGCGAGTTGCCCCCTCGCCGCTTCTCTGTTCATTCTAGGTGGCCGCGCGCAAAAAGATGCAAGAAGAGGAGAAGAAGGTTCGCGCTAGGAAACTGCTGGAGATGCCGCCGCCAAAGGTCCATTGCTCCAAAATGCGAACCATGTACGAGAGCGCGATTAAGACCAATTTCACGGAAGGGCTGAAATCGAATTTCGAAAATTCTTTTGGTAACCGACGGATCTTTAGGTTTCGAGACCTCGTTGTAATCGCAGATTCGCGCTTCGATAAGTCGCTGATTTTTCGACGCTTTCCGCAGATTCCATGTCGGTGGACACGATGATGCTCGAGCAGATGTGCCTGGGCGACGACAACTCGAACCAGTTCAAGAACAAGAGTACTCCAGAGGACTCGACAGAGCCCAGAAGTCCCGTTGTCAGCCTGGGCCAGGGCGACATGGAGCGCGAGGACGCTGCCAGCGAGACGGACGAGAACATGGACGGGGAGGGGGTTGATACGGCGGTTGACGAGGGCCAGGATCATCCTTTGAACGACGAGGATCGACAGGAGAACCCGAAGGAACCTGCCTCGGCGTCGGTCAGAGATAAGCGCGCGGTAGCGGAGAGCCACACGGAAAAAGAGGACGTTTCCACGCCGAAAAAGATGAGACTGATCTCTGACGAGGATAAGACTTTCGCGTTGCCGGCGTGCACGCTCAAAGGCGCGCAACAGAAAATGACGAAGAGTCGCGACGCGTCCGTTGGTCCGCGGATCGCCAAGATCCAGACGGTGCGTTACAAGATTGGATCGGTGGCGAAGGCGGCTCAAGGGAATCCAAATTCTCCCAGTGCGTTCAAATACGGCCGCAGCGCTAGCTTCCGCGGGGATAACAACCTTATCGATACAAAAGACGATCACTTGGCTGAGTCAGGCGCCGATCAAGCGACATCCGTGGCGGGAGTAAGTCGTTACAACGTGACTCCGAAGACGAAGACAGCTCAGGATAATCGTAGTTTCTCTGGTACATCGAATTATGGTTACTCCGACAAGGGCAGCTTTTGGGGGGATAAGAACCTAGCCGATCCGAAAGGTTTGGCTGATCTATCACCGACTTCGACCATCACGAAGCTCGGGATGGACCGTTACATGTCGCCAATGACGAAGATGGACAAACCTAATGTTTCGCGTACGCTTCACTGCTTCGATAACGACAGCTCGAGTCTCTCGCGCTAGTAACCATGCGTTCGATTTCGTAGGTGGCCACTGGGTTCCATCTCCCTGTCTCAGCATCGCGAAGACCGAGGCGGGTGACTACAACGCATCGCCGTCAGCGAGGAAGTCGAGCGACGTCCCTAATATATCCGGTTTGTTCATCCCGAGACCGTACGACTACTCCGATAACAGCAATCTCAGCTTTCAGTCCAACAACATGGCGAATATGAAAGGTACAGATTTCGTTCGTCGCTGCGTCGATCGATCGGTTTCGAAATGTTTGTAACCTCGTCGCGTTTTCAGCCGATCAAATGTCGTACGACGGATCCATGCGCGACTTGTACGAGTGTTCCATCTCCGCGTCGATGAAGAACCCGGAGATGAATCCACGCGCGAGCAGTACGGCGAACTTGCCGACAGCCAGGGCCGGCGAAAATTTCCCGCGTAATTATGTTCTTTGCGATTCGATGCTACGACGGTACTTTTTAATTTCTACAGCGTCACGTTTCCTCTTTAGTTACGGGATTCAACTTCAGCGGGATCGCGAAGGCCAACGAGGGACGCAAGAATCTTTTCTGAAGACCGTCTACTTTTTTTATCTTCCATTCACTTACTTGATATAATATCTTTGTTCTTGTTCAGCCGTGTTCGGTATCGATGAAATAAAATTAAATGTGTCGGTTGAGCGTTGAGCAGTCGAGCAAAATGAAAGAGTATCCTGTCCATGTTTTCACCGAAGTCCTGTGGTTCGAAGAAACGATCTTTTCGGAAGAAGTAACTTTCTCAGATGACATCACGAAAGGTCATTCGTTCGCAAGAGGCTAAATTTAGAGGTTAAATATTAGGTTAGTAGAAAATTAATGTCGGTTTTCAAATTATATATTTAAATCCACATAATCAGTGAGGACTTCATTCTTATATATATAGATTACACGAACTTGCTTAATATCCATTACGAAGTAAATAACTCGAAGTGAGTAAAAATTAGCACCTGCACTGCAAGATGATATTAGACCGTGAATAGAGCGAACTGTTATCCGAGAACCAAGCGTCAAAGTTCGAAAACCGACGATTAATTCTTACGGACCTAATAATATTCCAGCGAAATTACGCGTACTCCGCGTGAAAGCTCGCGAAGCACCGTAATTTCTACCCTCGGTCCGCTGAAAAGCGCCGGGGGAAGTTAGACCGCTCGCTTTCGCCCCGAGGAGTCCGGAAAAGGAAACGTGAAAGACGCAGGACAGAGGGAAAAAATGGAGGCGGAAAAGAACCGAGAAGCAGGAGGGGAGAAAGCCCGGCCGTAGCTGGCGAAGAGAGACAGAAAGAGCACTCAGCTCGACGACTGAAAAGTAGGTCCTTTAAAGCGCCCCCTTTGCGAGCCACGCTTTAAAGGCCATCGCCGGCGATATTTAATCTTCGTCTGGATGTTTGTGAATTATTTAAAGAAATAGGGGATTAATCGAGGGGGGCACGGAACTTGTCGATTCATCGACGACGCCTTGTCTTAACCGACAAAATCGCTGGTACTTGAGCCGCGGCAAAAAGGGGGTAGGTTCTATTCGCGCTAACTTTTCAAAATGCGTCGATCGGATTTAATGCGGTCGATCAATCGATCAAGGATATAGTTGCGCTACGATCCATTCGGTAGTCTCTTCGAAGCTGAATTAGTCTATGAAAAAAACCAAATCCAGAGAGTCGAACCACCACCATTTGGCACGCTACTCGTTATGGTGGCAACGAAACTTCGATCGCATAGGGGGTGACCACAGGCGTCACGAAGGCGCTAGTGTCGCGCTCCCCGTAACTTCCAGAGCTTCCCTCTCCCGAGGGGACCGCGATACGACTCGGTAGCTCTCCGTAATATTCAAACTTGGACTCCATTGTTACTCTCGAAACTTCGCAAAAGAACCAGCGACGCGGTGTACGATAAAGGACTAAGCGCACAAATAGGAATAATCGAAGGAAGTCTAGCTGGATGACCAGCCAAAATGGGAAACGCGATAATTTCATCGCGGGACTCGTAATAAATTTTCTTCGTTACGTCTCTCGTTCCCAGCTCGAACTTTTTCCGACGCGAACGTGCGGGGAATGCGGCGCAATAGGTAACTTCTTAATAAAACTTGATGCAACCCGTCCACCCACTCCCCCCCACCCCCCCCCCTCCCCACCCTCCCGCCACGCGCGCTTCTACTCCTTTTCGCGTTTAATTACTTTAACCGGCATAATTGATATAAACTAACTCGACCCGCGGGGAGAATTCATTCGAGCCGCTCAGAAGAATACGAAAGTTTGTTATTGCCTATCGTAAGTTTTCCGAGGCGACTTCTCGTTATGAATGCAGTTTACGAAAGTGGTCGTGTTCAAGTTGCGAACCCGCCGCGATAGATTGCCGACCGGCTGGCTCGGCTTCGAACTTCCAACATCCCAATGGGTAAAAATAAATCGGAGAATTTAATAAAAAGGAGGGTAAAGATCGCGGCAGAGGGACTCGAGAAAATTTATAATTCCAAGATTCACGAGGAAGAATGGGGGGTTCGCTCTTAAAGAAGATCGCCCGCTACGGAGCTATGAGCTTCGACGCGGAGCATGTTCCTCGCTTGCGCGTTTTACGGAACTCGCTTAATTCGACCTTTCGCGTTCGGAGAACAAACTGTTTAACGCTTCGAGTTTCGATGAAATTTGTTTTTCCAAAGATTCGACGCGATGATTCTGGAAATTCGCGAAGATTCCGAAGTGTCGCGTCGCCTCGAGCTCGTCGGTCTTGGAAGTTGAACCGTCGGGGCCCTTTCACGTGGCCAGGAAACGTCAACGCCCACGGTACGGTAAAAAAAAGCCGTCGTCTAGGCTGACACGTACCAATTTCTTCCTCGACAATTCCGTCGGAATACCTCCTCTCGCTCTATTTCTAGATTTCTATACCGTTCAATGGCGGACACGTTGGTTTTATAGACGCGCGAGCGGAATCGCGATTCCGAACGTCTCTCCGCGACAGGGGCCCGGAAGTCGACGTTCTTCCGTCTCCTTCGCTTCGCGCGTATGCTGGCTGCGGGTTTATCGGAACGAGAGAGCGTCCCATTGGGTTCGCTGTTTTATCTACCGCCTCCCCTCACCTTCGGGGGCATTAAGTAATAAAAACGGTGCAACGTAACATCTGAATCGGGTAACATTGGGGAATTTTACGACTCGGCTGGTGAGTTACGAGCGCGGCATAAAAATGGGGGATCGGGACGAGCCACCGAGTCAGCTTCCAGTTTCTTCTCACGAGAAAACGATCTTTCCGTTGGCGTTTTGATTCGGTCGTTACGGTGACTCGAAGGGAATCAATTTCCACGCAACGATTCGATAGGCGATTAGCAGGATTCCGGACACGTTGAAAGCGCTTCGAGTGGATAGGTGTCGAAAGGAATTTTGTTTCCTTTGTCCAACTAACATCTGATAATGTTTTACAAGTGCCGAGAGATGCTCGATTGACGTTTAAGGATGTTTAAGGATCGCACACGGCGCGACCGATTTGAAATTAGTGTTGCAAACCGTATGCGCTCGCGACCTGAAGCAAATTAGACTGGTTTCAAGGGAAGAAGAACGTATCCTTTGATCCACTATTGTCAGGCTTTATGGTTTAGTTTCCTGTTACGGTGGCCCGTAATCGCTCGACGTGCCCTCCCCCCCCCCTCCTCTACCCCCCACGGCCCGTAATTAACCTAAGTTACGAGCCTCGTTTATGCACGGATGCGTGTACCCGGCGCCGCGGCTAAACGCAGCTCAGATTTATTTGCGGCCGTGACTGCGTTCGCTCCCTTCGTAAATTTCTTGCCGCGATAGCGAATGATTTATCGCCGTCCCGCGTGCCGAACCTACTCCTGCGCTCCCTGCCGCTCTCATTATAATTATTATATCGCGAAACGCGTCGCGCGAGATAATTTACACCGCGAGATGTATTTACACCGAACGCCATCTGGACGTCGATCGGTCCGCGTACTTCATTGCGAAATAATTACGGTGGTACGAGTCACCGACCGTGATATATAATTCCCGTTTATCAACCGCCTTATCGCGGGAGAAAAAGCCCCGAGCACGAAACGCGCGTTATTTTTCATTCACCCGCCCGGTTGTCCCGGCCGAACCCTGTTAACGAAGCGCCCGACTATTTCTCCGAAGAGAACGGACTCTTTACCGACGGAACGGTCCGCGTTGCCCGCGGAGCTATCTACCTTGCCGCCTCGGCGCGTTACGTTAACCGATGGAGCGGTCTGAACTTACCGAACGAGCGCTCTGCGTTACCGATCCACTTATCACCGGTCCACTTTCTATCTATAGACACGTTGGTCGCCAGAAATTGAGCGAAACGTTACGTTGTCCAATCTCGAATAGTCTCGCGACAAAACTTTCACTTTGTTGGAATTTCCACTTTGTAGAATTTCACGACGGAAAATGGCACGAAACAAAAAATGCTCCTCGAAGCATCACGTTGCGGTATCTATCCATCGCACCGCGCTATTTCGGTATGCTCATCCGCGTCTCATCGTGAATCAGTCTAGGAAATTGCCAGCGTTAAACGGTCCGTTTAATCGCCCCGTGTCGCGCGAAATGCAAACGAACGCGCGAAACTTGAACGCGAGGGATCCGAACGTCGACGATAGGCCACCTCCCCCCCCCCCTCCTCCCCTCCCCCAACCCCCTCCTGAATGTATTTTACGTATCCCAAAAACGCCCGGCGCGAAGCTGGTTGCCTGTTTCGTGCATTTTACTACAGACGCTCGGAAGGGGTTCGAGAGGGATGGGAGCGCGGCTCGGTTTCTTGGGGAGCCTCCGCGAACCGTGAATTTTCCTCGAGGGTCTACTTCGTTTAATCCTCCCCGACCACGAGTCGCGGATATTAAGCCTCTAAGCCCCCGCGTTTATAATCGCGCGACATTTTCTGCGGTTGCTAGCGAGAGACAGTCGGAGGGTTGCTCGGAGACAATGCGGGAAAACCGGGCGAGGGAGGAGGGTGGTGTCGTCTTAGCTACGTTTCCTTGTGGATTTACAGCCGCGATGAAGCTGCCGCGATGAACAAGCTGCGTTCGATGGGATGTATACAGGGTGTTCGAGTACAGATGGGTAGGAATGAAGAGGGATATCAAACGTGACGAAATTCGCGATAGGGCGGTGTTCTAAGCTCGAGATAGAGGAGGTGGGCGAGAACGTCGAGATGAGCAACCTGTGCTCCATGGGATCTGTACAGGGTGTTCAAATACAGGCGGGACGGGGAATATAAAATGTGAGGAAATTGCGATAAGACGCTGGTCTGAATTATACCCTTTGGAATCGAGAGGTGACTCTCAGTCACCGTTAGGTTGTCTTTAGGTTGAATTTCTTTGGAACTCGAAGTGCCAATAAAATGATTGTCGTTGAGACAGTGGGTGACCTGATTCTCAAATCTCAAATTAGAGATCTCATTTTCGAGGCCGGTACAATCATTCGTGGCAGTAGAACGCTAAGAAAGCGTCTCGAGTTGCTGGTAGATACCAGAAAAAAGAGCCTCGAGTGCAAGGGATTAAAATTAAATGTAATTAAATTAATAACGCAAAGAAAATATCGTTCGCGCCACGATAGAGAACCTATTATATCCTGCAATTTACATCTAAATCATTTTTTCTTATCATCGATAGTTATTCAGACACGAGTTTGTAACACTTAACCGTGGGACACTCTGTATACGTATAAAATTTGCGTCTTTCTGACTTCGTTGTTTAACTGCTGGTTGACTGGTTAATTGAATCGGTTACCTCAATAATCAACGGAGGCAACGGAGCACCGAATTCGCAAATCGATCGCGTACAAATCGATGGAAAATATTCCAGCCGTTCGAGGAGTTCCCCCGTGCAATTTTCTGTGCCATATCTTCTCGCCGGAGCGATCCAGTTTCTTATTTAAAGTTTCTCATTAAAGTGGCCGCGGAGAGGCCAAGGAAAAAGTCGCGCGATTAATTATTCCGTCTGTTTTCCGGCGACGCGACGGCCGGCTAAACGCGCAAATATTTTTCCTAGCGCGACGCGGCTCTACGAGGCAGGCGAAAACAAAACTTCCACGGCCGGCGAGCTACGAGGCAACTGAAATAAATGTCGCTAGTGTAATTGGAGTTGTAACGTTCGTCGAATTACTTTCGCGAAACGGTGTTACCGCGTACAGGAGGAATTCGAGAAACGGTTCTCGACTGTTAAGCACGATTTCGCTCTCCGATCCGTTGTACATCGAATATTATTAAAGGTTAACCGCGTCAGCATGGGTAAAATCGAGTGTCCTATTATATTATCGCATCTCGATCATCCAAAATGTTCAAATGCGAGAAAATGTGAACGGACGAACAACCTCCGTCCTCGAATGCCGTTTCAGATCTCCTTTTGAAGGAATCAATCGTCGATCCTCTTCTTTCGACGATCGAATTCGTTTACCCAGAGGCCCTTGGAATGATCGACGCGAGACACGATAAATCCCGCCCCCTCGTTCCTCAAAGAATCGTTCCAGCCGACTGGGATAAATCACGAAAATTAGAGAATCGAGAAGAAACGAAGGTAAAGGGAGGGGGGGTGGGGATCAGGAGTCGGTTTTCGCCCACGGATTCGCCCTCAGGCTCGAGCTGCCCTATTTTATCACGGTCTGTCGATAGCAGGCTCGTCCGAGCAAGGGAAACATCCCCTTGTCCTTCGCTGGAGGGAGGATTTCGTCGCCGAGACGCGTATAAAGCGAGGGGGCGAGGGACCTGGCCAGGTTTTCGAGGATTAATTGCAACCCGTGGGAGGCTGGAGAAAAGGTAAACAAACAACGGAGAGAAATAAAGCAAGGAAGGGACCGAAAGGAGTCTAACGAAGTAGAAACCCTTTCGGCTTGTGGCGGCAATCGGGAGACAGTCGCGTTTCGAGCGGAGGCTTTCGAACGGTTCGATCGTTGGCCCGCGAGGAACAATGAGGGGATCGGTTACCGCATTCAGGTTGCTCGACAATGAGCCCCACCGAAATGTTCGTGCCTTCGCGACCCCGTGAAACGGGTCACGAGGAAGGCGATTGCGTCTGCCCCTGGAGGCCGTTGCTTCTTCGCTTACCACGAACAACGACGAACCTGAGACTAATCATCACCTTTGATACCAACCTCGACAGTGATGTACATTTATTCGAGGCAATTTTATTTTTGCCTCTCGTAACGATTTTCGTGTTTTACGTCGTTAATCATTCGTGGAGGTCGCACGTTCTGGAAATAACGCGCCGGTCACAGGGGGTCCCAATAACCCCGGTCATGTTTAAACGATTGCCGCGTTGTCAGTATCGTTCGCGTACTGTACGTACGAGTCGTTCGCTCGTAGAAATTCAGGATATTTGTTCGAACCTTTCGGAATGAGAATATCGTGGCAAAACATTTGTATCCAATTTTCAAAATGGCGAAAAATAATCAGCAACGAGGCAATGCGTAAAAGACAACATTTTTCATATATTTTCATAAAATTAATAACTTAATAGTAATTCTAGATTAAAGTTGCACTTGGGGTCATTTCGACCCCGAGTAATTGAAGCATCGGGTAATTTTTGTGGGTTTCTGGTTGAGTACTGCTGTAAGAATTGTAATTACTTCGAAATGAAAAGATTAATTGGAACACCGGAACAATGGGTATATGAAAAAAATTAGATTCATACCCCGAACCCGCATCGTGCTCCGGGAACAGAGTAGAATCTTACGACGCGATAGTAGGAAAAGTCAATTCTGCCGGGCGAGAAGACACCGAACAATTAGTTCAAGTTCCGTTGGGTAAAACAATGCACCCACATTTCTGGGTCTTTCGACGTTTGCCTGCTCTTTCGAGAGTGCATGCACGCTTCTCGAGTCGAGAAAGCGACTTACTCTGACGTTTCAGTTATCGAAGTAGTTCTTGGAATTCGGGAGGATTTATACAGGCGAAGAAGAGAAAAGAACATCTTATACGAAAGTTGCATAATTCAACGAACCACAGCGCGTATGTTTCTCTTACGCGAGAGAACACGACCTTACACGAACCTTACACGAACCTCCTCATTTCGAATGGAATCGAAGAACGTAGAAGTTTAAAATAAAAAAATATTCACTCTTATTAGCTGTGAACATTTTCGTTTGTTTGTAACGATTTGTTTAAGGTCGCATCAACGTCTAGGTTGGTAGCGGCCACATTTGGCTTAGCGACTAGTTGTTTATATAAACGTCATCCTCATACTTGAAGCTTTCTTGTCGGAGCCAATCAAATGGTTTCTCCTGTTGGTTTGTAACTATAACAACTCAACTATACTGGTCCATTTCTGGTTCCACCGTTCATTGGTGACCTTCCTAATAAGCTCTGAACTCGTTAGCCGATATTTAATTAATTTAACAGACTCATGGTAACGTTACACTCGAGAAGTACAACGACTCTTGCGCCGTACGATCCCAAAGTACTACTCGGTACAAGGCTCTAAACGTTCCCTTGCGACTCAAGGATCGGCGACCCTAAACCCAGCAAGCTGAAGCTCGATCCCGTGACTCCGTAACTCGATTTCGCCTGCATGGGCCGCGTTTAGCTCGAATCGCGACGCGACACGCGAACCTGCGAGGAAATAAAAAAGCGGCCAGCGGGCAAAAGTCGAAAACTCCGTTCTTCCTGGTTCGCCAGGGCCGGGAAGGGCGAGAAGAGACCGTCTCGCGTTTCGATCGAAACTCTGAATGGTCCTTTGAACGGAAATACGAAGAGGGGAAGCGAAGAATGAAAAAGTTGTACTCACGCGAGCACTGGCCTGGCTCGTCGCTACCGTCGCCGCAGTCGTCGACGGCGTTGCACACCCTGTTCAGGGCGACGCAGCGGCCGTTGCCGCACTGGAACTCGCTCTGCCGACAAGAAAGCACCGTCGTCGCCATGAGAACGCAGATGAGAACCGGCCAATGCGTGTCTGAAACCAGAAATATATTCGTCAAGTCGCGCCCATCGCTCCTCTCCACCTTTTTAACATCGAAAATCTTTTTATTTTTCCACAGCCGACGTTCATGTCCCGTTATATGCGTTGTAAATATTCAATTAACTCGGAGATGCACACATTCGATGCACTTTAAAGTTTCAGATTATTTTACCAATGTTTCTCGAAAACGTAATATTTTCGAACGCGAAAAGTCGAGAAGAAGCAATCGTGAGGTATTTTTCTATATTTTAATATCTATCGATTGGAAGAATTGAAGCTGATAAGTTGATTAAAAAGCGTTTTTCGTACTACGAATAAGTACGAACGAACCGTCCGAAGGTTTAGCGTTAATTGGATCCTTCTAGAACAACTTTCGAACAACGCACGACTTTCAATTATCTCCGCATCTTTGTTTACAGGTGAAACAAACGCGGGCAACGTCCCACGGAACTCTCGAAAGACTTGGTAGGCTTAAGCGAGCGCTAGCGGTACTGAGTCTTAAATACTTTGGGAGACTTACGATACTCGGTGATTCTACTTTATATTTCACAATGAATATTAAAACCGTATAACGAATCGTGCCAGTGAAAAATAACTTGGAAAGCTTTTAATTAGGTGTACGTCGCGAATAATTTAACGCGGATAAAATCCTGGTCGATTGGAAAACAGTTTCTCTACTTTGGAAATTGTTTCGTAACTCCATCGTAAGGTTATCCCGAGGAAAACTTTTTCAAATTTCCGTTCCGTCGTTTACCTTTCGAAAATCCACGAGAAGCATCGAGCTCGCGAGCGAGTATCATCTCTGATATAAGAGTCGGAGACCGAATCTTTACTTTATTTCCATCCAGTCTCGAAGTTTACCTTGTTTTTCGCGGTTCTGGGATAAATTCGATGATGTTTGCGCAGCCCCGAATAGCATTCAAATCTTCGTCGGTGAAGTTCCACGTCGAGGAACGACGGGATCGTTTCGCGAAAACGTAAAAGTATTATTTACGCGTCGTTCGGGGGCTCGGACGGAAGTTCGGACGTCCAGGAAACAAACAACGCATTCGTCTTCATAGTTTCGCGGGAAAACGCGTAAAATTTATCACTCGCGACGCGCGTTCCGTTCCTTTGCCAATGGACGAATATCTCGCTGCTCGAAACGCGATTGATTTAACCCGTTTTGTAGTATTTGCCCGTCAAAGCTCCAGGGAAGGAACAAGATAAACGATTTCATCCTTTGATCGATGTCGAAACGGACCACTGTGATTTATTCTCCAAGGAATTCCATTCTCCAGGAGCTCCGCTTCGACGAGACGTCCCTTTACAGCGAATGTACATTTAAATCTTGAATGTTCGATGTTCCAGATTTCTGCTTCCTTCATTTTTACATCGACGAGTAGCGTTGCTCCCCATAAAGAACACTCGTGTTCGAAGCTCTAATATCACGACTAAAAATGAATACCGTTTTTTAATTCGTAAATCCAATTGGTATCCCGAATTGCGCAAAGTTCGGAAGAGACCAAAAAATCACGAAAATTGAGAATCGAGGTCTCAGGTTTACCCTGGATAGAGGATATCCTTAGAATTCCAATTTCAAATTTTCTCCCCATTTGCCGGCAGTTTTAAAAAGAGGTTTTTCACGATCCGGGAAATTTTCTGAAAGCGTCGAGGCATGAAAGGTCCAAGACGGTGGAAGCGTCGAACGGGGTGTGTTTTCGTAGAATTAGGAGAGAAGTCGAGAGACGGAGAACTGATAAGAAGGAAGAACGGATATCGAGGCACGTCCTCTCGATTTCCGTCATCGTCTGAAAGCATCGACGACGTTGTTCGACCGACGTGCTTTCCAGATACCTATATTTTCGCCGTTATCCGCAGATGCTCGCTTCGCCTCCAGTCTCGGCTCCCTAATCACGTACCTAGTATCTACGACCCTCCAGGTACGATCGCGTCAAAATTAATTTTCAACGGTGGAGCTCGTTTGAAACATTCTCGACCGAAATCTGAATCCAATTAAACGTTGTACAAAGGAAGACGCGCAAGTTTCGATTAAATATTAAGCTGTCGCAAAGGTTTCTTTCGTGAGTTGCACTCAATATATTTCGTGTGACAGCGTTTATATAAATACATAACGCACATAATATCGTGTACGTATTACTTATTCTCGAGGATCTTAATTATTGGATAAATTAAGGACTCGATCGGTTGCAAAATAAAAGAACTGTGTATTATTAAAGTGAACGTCAAGGTACGGAGGCTAAAAAGACGTTGACCGGTTGAGCACTCTTACAAGACTAAAACTCAAACGCAGCGAAAACTACTCTATTGTAACCTGAGCCTACAAGCAGAGAAACACGCGGCGAGAATTAAAGGAGATACACTTTAGCTTCGACACTTATTAATAAAACGAAAGAAACGTTTGGGACAACCTGATATTTACCTAGAAGGAAGCGCGTTAAACGCGGAGAAAACTAGCGCGCTGCTTCGTCTCCGTCCCAGTTTGCGCGCGATTACGTCGACGATGTCGAAAAGAAACGAAACGGGTACGACGCGACGTTGAAGGATGATCGTCGAGCACGGCAAAGTGCGTGGAGAACGTGAAACGCGTCGGAAGATGGAAAAAAGCAAAACAGCGCAAACGATACGATACGATTCCACTCTCTCCCAGCGTCGCTATTCTTCCTCGAGCGGATAAGTTCAAGCGAAGAGGAGACGCGCAAAAGCATCCTCGAGACGTACGGAAAACGCGAGACTCGCGGACGAGAAACGTCTTTCTTTTCGATCCTCTCGGCGTTTCAGCTACTTAGGGCGACTTTGCATGCGAAATTTCGTCCGCGGAGGCCCTCGAGAACCTCTTCCCCGCGATGGAAACTTGAATTTCCATTTCGTCGTTCCGCGAACTCTTCGAATCATTCGTGATACACGCGTAACGTTACGTTACGCGCGTAATAAAAAGGTTTGCGCGAACGGGACCGTAAAATTTTGTCGTAAAGTATTAATAAAGATACCGATGGTACCTTTATCGTCGAGGTGACACGACTTTGAGAGCTATCGAAACGAGGTTAGCGCTGTGTTTCAAAAATTAGTATCGGTTCGATGGATATTTTTTGGAGTATAAATTCCAGGTCGAGGTAGGTAGCTACGCTTAGAATAGAATTCGAGAACGATGAACACGAAGTCGATGAGTGTGCTCCTGGCCGCGGCAGGCATTTTCGCAGCGATGTTTTCGTTCGCTACGGCTGGACCTGTTGCTGATCCGGTAAGCAATCGCGGAGGATTTTTATTAAGCTGATTAGAGTAACAAAAGTACGAGAGGTATAATAGTAAAATAAATCGCTTTACCACATATCAGAGATTCGTATAAATGGAGAACGTTATCCAAATAAAAATTTGCAACTACTTTTACTCAGGAAGCAGATCCCCTCCTGTCAGCTACTCTCCAATCTCTAGCGGGTTAGAATTGAACAACGGACCCACAGCGTGTATGTAGGACTATTGGTTGAAAAACTTGTTATTATTTAAAAAAAAAAAAAAAAAAACTTGAATAAATTCTAAATTTATTAAATACATTTTCTCCGGTTTCCATCTATCCTAACCAGTTCAGATTCGTAACTTTCATATGTGGAACATTTCCATGGTGTTTATCTGGAAGTTGCACAGGATAAGTGCTCCTAGAGGATCGCTACACAGGAAGAGACAACAACAGAGACTCGAGACTCGCGCGCGAAGGCTAAAGAAATTGTACGAGTCGTTCGAAACTCCTGGTAAACGACGAATACGAGAGACTTAAAAGAGGAAAATATTTCCTCGTCAATCATATTTCCTCAAGTTCAATCAGTGCGTCGTCCTACTGTTTATATATTGTAACAGTTATTCTGCCACATTTTAAAAACGAACCGCGCGATTTCGTCTCGCTCCGACGATTAATTTGAAAGCCATTCCATACACGAACTCCACTGTACGTTTTTCATTTCCCCGCGAACGTTCGGTATATTTACAGGCATTTATGGAAATAATCCGCTTTTCCGGCCGGTCCGTGCGAAGAATATGCAACCGACGGGATTATCGCGCACCGATAGCGAATAATAGAAAAGGATAGCGAGCACTAGGTAAGCCGGTGCATTCCATTCGACGATCTTTGTATCGCGTGTCGCCGATCCCACTTTGTTCAAAAATTCATCGAGTTTCCTTCCGGACGATTTGCCGCGCGAGAGGAGCTCGGTTCGAGGGAAAGTGGCCTCTAAAATTTTCAGCAATCGCCTAGCCGCGAGATTCGATTATAGCGACGGCCGGAACGTTCCGAGGAGTCCCGGTTTAAAGAGCACATCCGCAACGTCCGTGGCGATCCCACGGGAACGTCTTCGAGCGGTGCTGTTTTTTCTTCTCGTTTTATCGGATGCGCGTGCATCGCATCCACGGTTAACGTTTTACTCGAGGCGGTACTCGCGAGTTACTGACGCAACTGAACGACGCGATCTAGAGAGAGAGAGAGAGAGAGAGAGAGAGAGAGAGAGAGAGAGAGGCTCCCAGATGAATCAAAGACGAAGTAATTCAATTATCTTTAGTTATAGTCCGGTCCTAATGGACCGTTTACACTTTTCCCCGTAACAAAATCGAGGGACACGTTGCTTTTTCTTTATTATAGCGTAGTCATGTCTGACTGTTTACACTTTTCCTGTGGATACACATCACGTTAGGCAATCATCGCGACTTTAAAACTTTTTTGTCACCTTGTCCAGTTCGTACAGTCGTTCTTCGAATAACAAATCTTTCTTGAAAGTCGAACAAAAATAAATTATCGTGCAATCCAACGCAGTAGCCTGTGATCTCGAAACATCGCGTTAGGCACCATCGCGACCTTAACACTTTGTCACTTTGTCAAGTTGGTACAGTCGTTTCTCGAATAACTTTCTCGAAAATCTTTCTTGAAAGTTGATAAAATAATAGATGGAGGAATCGAGCGTAATAAACCGGGGGAGGTAACGAACGCGGCCCATAATCGAAATCGCGGC